GTCATACCTATATGCGAGGGGACAAATTTTTTAAGATTGTGTGAGAAGGGACAAATTGAGAAAAATTTTTCGACTGATATTGCTAAAATGCCAGATATCAGCATTGGGGGAACCGATTTTATTGGGCAAAGGCTCATTGTAAAGAAAAACAAAAAGAAAAAATATTGGACCTGACACATTTTTCGCCCACGACATATACCCGCAGATAATTCAAGTTATTTCATCGTAGCAGATGAAAAAGCGCCAACTTAGCGTCAATAAGTGTAGCGGTAGCGTCTCGTGAGGAGGCCGATTTTTTCTTTTAATACTTGGTGTCGAGACGCTACCGCGTCTCTTGATGACTTAACTACTGAAATACAAGTTCCGAAGAAAGTATAACAAGTACATGATGCTGGTCGATAGGCAAGGCATTGGGTTAGGAGGCTAGAGATCTTGTGGTTCGAGGCTCTTCGTCGGAAGTTTTTTTTTCTTCTTCTGGACGTTATGATTTTTTTTTAAATACAAGGTATTAAAGAGGTTGAAGCGCTTCACGCCGGTCAAATCAGTGCTCAATATTTCTCATCGTTTTTACATAGTTTTATGAATTAATTGATTGCAGTGAAGGGTGATTTGTATTATAACATGTGCCCATAACCCATAAAAAAATTCAGAGTGATGAATTTACAATAATATTACCTGACCAATATTACATAATGCATTAAATTTATAAAAACGATTACTAAAATTTAGCACTGATTTAACCGGCATGAAGTGCTTCAACCTCTTCAAAAGTTGTACGAGCTGCACGCTGAAGGTAAAAAAAATCGAACCAAATATCAATTTTTTTCTAATTTTATTTATTATTTTATTATAATAAAGGCATCAACGATGATAATCTACAGGCTTCCACATCACCCAAGAGGTGCCGTAATCGATACGTTCCCATTATTTAACATAGCGGGACCCCAGTAGGCCTATACTACGATCGAAGATAATAACGTCATAGAAATGATCCATTTAAATAATTAGCGTATAAGCAAATCACAATAAGGTAAAAAAATGGTTCGACTGAAAAATCTAAATAACATGCGCTCTGTAGTAAGAAATATATTTTGTTCATCCAAAATGAATACTAAAATTCTCGACTATAACTCTATTTAACTGGACTAATGCTATGTTGTTTATCTCGATATACCTAGGTATATTATATTGCATGCACGTACTTGGCCAGGTCCATTACTTATTTACAAATCTACATGTATGCATAAGCATATATACTATACATTGTAACGCATTTCCTGACTTACGTTCTATAAATGTTTTTACAAGACTATCAAACACTATCGAACGACTATCAAACGATTGGAAGTAGAAAAAGTTTGCAATATAGTCTAATTCAACGGACACACCGATTGAGGAATCGATTGTATCGTATCGATTGGGATCGTTGATTCGCATATGGTTTTTGTCATTTTTCTTGCAAACGATGGACTATCAAACGTTTTTATTGATTAATTCGCAAGTATCAAACGATTTTGCATCGATTGAGCTCCGGAAAAACAAAATCCGGTTAGAAACAAAAAAGTGCCGGCCAACTTCACACCAGATTTTGATTTTGATTTTCTGAAAAGACTAATGACTATCAAACGTTTTTACAAGACAATCAAACACTATCAAACGATTTAAATAAAAAAAAGTTAAAAAAATAAAAGTTGGCCGGCCAACTTTACGCAGGTTTCATCAAGGCGTCCTTCATCCTTGAGATAAGGACGGACTATGAATACGGCTGATAGTTTACTGACTTGTGCTTTCCCTATTTCTCCAATTAGTAACTCTCCTAAAACATTTAATAAGAGAACGTCATTTTCAGGTACTTCATAATATTCATTTTATATTATTCTTGTGCATACTTACAACTTGGGTATATTTTTTATATATAAAACTTCTTGAGATGCTGACGTACTCGTATTACGATTTTTGCATTTTTCTATCCACACCTTTGTTGGATCGAATAAAGTAGAACAATTTCGCGATTTTACAGGAATAGTTGACGTACTTTTATTACATTTATTCCTATTGCGACTTTGCGAATGTGCTACAAGATGCAATCGACGTTTGACATATTCCTCATCCTTTTGTCTGAAAGATTAAGTTATATGGTATGACAATAATACTGCACGATATGCGGATGTACTAATACTATATAAATACAATGTACAAATATAATGCTATTAAAGACGCAAACACCTGTCTGGACTGTGACAAACTTACTGTTTACGTGCAAACTACTCATCGCAGAACCAGTTGAAAACAGTACATCTTGCAATACACATTTGTCAATGCGTATAAAACTACTTACGCAAATTGCAAATGCAATGGAAATTATTTTCTCAGTAAGATAATAATAATTGTAACGCGAAAATACGAATATTACGCAAATCTTAATGAGAGATTATTTCAAATAATTTAAAGCTTACGATCATTATCTAATTACCTGAATAATTTAATCATATGATTAGCTTCGTATTTGACAGCATCTTTTTGTGTCTCCCGCAAACGTTCTACATATTCTACAGATGCCTTTTCATTGACTTTCCGATTTTTGTATTCGTTCAATGCAGTAAGAACTTTTTTCATACGTGCTTCTTTACGACGCTGTTCTAAATTCTTTCTAAATTCTAAATGGCGTTTTAATTGTTCATTATCCATTGAACGTTTATGTTCACGATCCAGTTTCCATTTTTTGATCATTTCTTTCTTTCGCCTATTTGTTTCGTCAGAACATTCCAAATTATGAATATTTGCATTATTTTTATTACTAGTAGTTACTTCTAACTTTTCGGGGTTTTTTATTTCTACTTTTTCTGACTGCAGTGATTTATCTCCTTTTTCTAATTCTTTGTTACTATTTAATTTCTGACTCTTTTCCAATTCCTTTTCCTTACGCCATGCCTCCAGAACCAGCTTCTGCTTTTCTCGCAATTCCAAATAAACCTTGTACCACGCTTCGTGATTCACGATATCTTCTGTCGAAAGATCAGGACATTTTTCCTTAATTGCTCTAACCAGTTTCGGTATTTTGCGATACTTTATTCTCAATTTCAGAAACAGAAGGTGATCCTCTTCCGACCAGTTTTCCGTGTGTCCTATACTTTGCGAAATTGATTACAATAACTTTCAGTCGAACAATGAAAACATTCACTTAATAATTACTGCAGGAATTTTGTGAATACCCGTTCTAGCTACCAAAGTGTTGAAATCCTGCACCTCTCGACAAAACGTATGAGAGCGTTCGACACTTTTGCTGCGAAGTATTCCTCTCCTTATGCAAGATGCAGTCTCTTTATTGGTGCAGTTATCAAATTTTGAAAATGAACGTGCAATTTCATTTAATTCCGTTTCCAACTGAACTTCTTCCTCCATTAGAGTTTGTAGAGGACAAGATTTTTTTAAGATTTCAATATTTCTCGCCAGTTTTAACAATTTTTGTTTGTAATTGTTAGTATCTATAAATGTTATAATTATTTTAGTCTTATATCTATATCAAAGATATGAGAAAAATAACAATTACCTAATTCTTGTACGTCTTTGCTATCATTTAGAACTGATTTTGTTGCGTCTAGGTCATTGAGAATGACTTGAACAGATTGCTTTACAGTATCAGCAATTTTATGCCTGAGGAAATAATGTTGATAGATAATTGATTATTTAAAATACACCATAAAAGCCATATGAAAATTATACCTGTCTGTCATAAGTTGTATTTGATCACGTACAATACTCTGTGTTATATCTTCCTCAATTTTCATAGTTGCAACTAAACTGCTTATTGTTTTTTCTATAATTTTTTCTTGCTGTTGTAATTTTAGAAAATTCTTTATCCACTCCGCCTTCTCTTTGGGGTTTATTTTTTCGTATAATGATAACTTTTCAAACTCACTATCTAATGTCATTGTAATTGACTGAAATGCCCTAAGCGACTAGTTACGTTTGTTGATTCATATGGGTTTCCATGGTGATCAGACAGATGTTTTTTTACTGTAGCAATTCAACTGCCTTTTTCTTATATCAGCTATAATTTGCTTGATCAATAATTAAGGATTATTAGTTGTAGTAATAAAAAATATTTTATTTATTGCATTGAAAATACTGGATATTTTGGGAGGTAAGGAAATAATTAGTCGAATAAAATGAATGCAGGTTAATCAATTCATGTTTTATTTTTGTTATTGAATTAGTTTCGGTAATATCTAATTATTTTTTGCATGGTGTCACATTTCGCAATTCATCAAATATAATCTGCAGTTGAGCACAAACTTCATTGTTCTGACGTGTTTTGGCAAGGACTCCCTTTTGTTTAAGAATACTATTTTGCAGTCCCTTAATTTTATCTTCTAATTCACGATATTGATTTTCTGCTTTTAATCTATGTTGTTTCTCTTCTCCATATAATGTCTTTTCCTTCTGCAATTCTTGGCTTAAATTGTAATTAGATTTATTCATATCTGTCAATAGTAGGGATAATTCATACAGGTTGAAATCACTTAGTATGTCAATCCTTTTAGAATGATCCTTTTCATTCTTGGAACTGTTAGTTTGGTTCTTTGTACAGCGAACTCTTTTGTGACGTTCCTAAAATAAAATTTTATTATGCACAACTTTATTTAAGTTAGTTATGACAGGTTTTTATCCATTAAATACAATTATGGAAAGATTGTGTGCCTGGAGTATTTTATTGAAATGATTACCTTCTTTGTTCTCTTCTTTAGCAACTTGTTGGAACTATATTTTTCTTCTTGAGAATTCCTTGACTTTTCAAAATGTACCTCATGACTTTTCGTGCTATCCCTGATTCTTCTGTTCAACAATCTACTTGTCATTGATACTTTCTCCCCTTTCTCTCGTTCTTTCAAAATTCTAACCACACTTTGCAAAATATTATCTGGGATTTTATTCTCCTTCAGATCGAGTCTCATAATAACATTATTTGCTTCCAGCAGATCAATTATAGCTTTGGCTCCATTTTTTGAAATATCACAGTGTCGCAATCCCAAATGTTTCATCCAAAAATCATCTCTCAACACGTATACCAATATTTTAAGCCCGCAGTCTCCTATTTTTGGATTCTTATTCAGGATCAAGGACTGGATACCCTAAAATTTAATAGAAATTAATAATAAATATGATCATTAGAAAATATTATGTTTAAAATATGAATATCACTATAGTACTCACTTGAATATCAATCTCATGACAATCCTGCGATGCGTATCCTCCCAAAGTATTTTTTAGAATCCATGCTTTCCTCCTTTTAAGAAAATCAGCCAAGCACTGAGCGCTTCTAACAGTAAGACAACATCCAGACAAATTCAATATTTTGAACTTTGCATTATTTCTCAAAGCATCCAAGATGAACTGGCAGCCTGAAACATCTCGATGCAAAAGTGATCAACAGTCTTGCACAACAAATAATTTTTCATCAATTTCCAAAAACAATTTATATAATACTTAATAGGACTGTCAACCGAATAATTCAACTGAATAAATGTCATCTCAAATTAAGGTATGTAATTATATTTTTACCTGTATCTCCTATACGACATCTTATGAATGCAAGATGGATCAAATTCTGATTATCCTGCAGGGCCTCGGTGATAACCTTAAGATATTTCAGAGGAAGTGGAACACCGTCTAAGGTTGCAGAAGTAATTGTGGATGGTGAAGTCAGAGAAGTGGCTATCGAATCGACGAGACATCGCAGGAAGAAATTCGTGTAAAGGACAGGATCGTTACGCCTACATCGTCTGCCGTTTATTCACAGAACACAGATCACGGATCTGGTATCACCCTTGTACACTATATGTTCCCTTACATCAATTGATCAATTCAATATGTCAATTCATTTGAACATAAAAAGTACTTGGATCATTATTGGCACTTTTAATACATTAATTTCGTTAAGTGATTTCAAAATCTAGATGTGAGATCAAACTTAAACAGAAATAGAAACAAGACGTGGGAGAAGCACAAAGGAAATTAGAATGGATCATATCGAATGATCGGAACTCATTGCTATTACGTTAATCTTCTTATGTTACTTTTGTTAATGGAATTAAAAAAGTTATTGGTTCTTTTATGTTGTAACCATTATAGTATCATTTCATTTCTACTATTTAAATACTATATGTTACGTAAAGTTTTATCAGAGACCTATGCATGGTTTTAGTGGTTTAATCGTACTGGGAATTATATATCATATCTGTTTTATTATCAGGATGTTAGACTGAGAAAGATGTCAATTTCATGTTTTTAGGCCCTTTTATAGTTTCCCTAAGCTATGTTGCTGTTTTATTAGAATATATGGCATGGAACTATAAATGAAGCTTCACTGATTGTTATTAGTAGTAGATTTTCGTTTTTACAGTTGTATTTGTCTTTAGAAAGTTAATTTCTGCATTTTTCATTAGAGTGCCATTGATCATACTTAACTGATAATCAAAAGGGATTACGATATTTCAAAGACAAGAGACTGGATTATTTACATATTATTACCGAAACTTCGTTAGTTGTTCTTCTGTGTTTATTTCTTGTATTTTTTTATTGCGACAACGACTGTAGATTACAATCTCGGAAAGATTTCGGTCGTGTGCAATTCTTGTTAAAATTCTTTTCCAATCTTCGAATGGGACACGATCGGCACACAAATGCAAGCGTTTTTCTTTTAAATGCATATTTAATGCACGTTTCTAGTAAAAAGCCTTAATTACCAATTTGACTGCTGCTTTTCTCACAATGTATAATGAATAAAATTTTTTTAAGTACCTCGTGGAATTGCTGGTATAATTTTTGAATAACTGAATTACTCATTTTTCAATTGCAAATGTACAATATTTGCTTAAATATAAAATCGCTTAGAGAAGGTAAAAAATAAGTATTTTAAAAAATCATTGATGTAAAATCATGTCACGCGGCTCTTGCAAAAATAATTGACATTCGTTACAAGTTTTCTTTCTTTCATCCTTCACTGTGGAAAACTGCCAACGAATGTCATAAAATTCTTTGTAGTTCACTAAAAAGTAAGAATATGGATGACGAAAAAGCAAGTTTGAATTACGATTGTAATTACAATCTATTTCTCGCAAAACGACTTATCCGGGATATCGTTAGAGTACAAGGTGACAAACAAAGGCGTAAACTAATTAAACTTTTACTGCAAAAAATTAGGAGAAAATTAATTGCTAGCAATTCCATTTATTTTCTGCAATGTAGATCGTCAAAATGCAGTGAAGTGGTTACGATTCTTAATGGCTTCCAACAAAACCGTATCTGAAATGCAATTAAGGAACGATTTCATGTATTACTTAGTTTTGAACCTACAAGAAGGATCTCTAAGGCCACCATTCAATTCACCACCACCGATATCTGCAGGACTTACAGACATTGCCGGTTTGATAGTATGTTTTCTCAAGTAGCCAAAAATGCTTATTAATAGTATAAATAATCTCCAAAAAAATATTTTAGCCAAGTAAAATTGACAATACGGAAACTGCCGATGACGTCACATCCACTCTAGACGCTCCTACATCGGAAAAGCCAATGGTAATGTCAAAATCACCAGATGGCGGTGCGTTCTTAGCAGTTCAACCAGTACCACATCAAGGATCATTTTGCTACCTAGCAATTACAACCAAAAAAGATGGGAATAATTGATTCGATAAAAAGTATCATTATTGGATACAGTTAGATAACTTCCTTTTACCTGTTTTATGTAATATTTACTCATTAAAACGTCGAGGACGTCTGATTTAGAAAATTTTACACAAAGCTGTGTTAATGAGCTCATTGAGTGATTCTTGAAAAAAAATTGTTACAAAATCTTATAAAATTTCAAAATTTAAATTGTATGCCCATACCTAATGTTATGAAAGGGAACATTGGTATACATTTGTGTACTCATTAGAATTTAAATCTTACGATTATTTCATTATACCCAAGAATCCATATACCTAATCTACCTATAACATAATTTGATTAAACTTGAACAAGTTAACTGATCAAACTACATTCACGAATAAATGCCTAATCCAATCCTTATAATTGAACAGTTAATATATTCTAAGCTCATAATTATTTTACTTTGAAATTCTTTTTCTAAACAAAAATTCGATATTAAACTATTCGTAAGGATAGTGTCACACCGTCTTCAAGAAAAACATTGAAATGAAATTAGATAATAATTCAAGTCAATGTTACAAAGTCAAATATAGGATAATAAACTCATAACATATTTATGCTTATGAAATTATTAGATCTTTTTTAACTATTGTTATAATCATCAAGAATGACTTAGCAATCACAAAGTAATAGTTACGTATCAGTACTGATACAATTTCCTTCTCAGGAATGTGATAATTATAAAATACATGCACGTAGCTATTGAATTTCTAAGTAGAAAAAGTGGAAGATGGCTTACATAAAAATTGATAGTTAATGATTTCTGGGTAAATAATTATATTATGGATAAGAATAAATATAATATATGATCTCTACATCAAACCAATTGTTCAGTATTGCGAATAATAATGACATAAAATATGTCTGCCGGATTGTCTACGATTACAGACAACTCCTTGCGTTACACCTGCAAGAAATTCCAGGGATGCCTTGATCGTCACGCTTGTAATAAAAAGAGAGTGTGGTGTACCTACATGTGGTAACAATGACAAGAGGTTTAGTATGCAGACGCCGATCGCGATGGTTCGTGTGCGCCTTGCAAATGGATAACAAACATCTGATAAGGACTCGAGTAAAGATAACTTACGTCACGCCGACCGAGAACATAATTAGTTAAATAGCCGATATATACACTCCTTGGATTCTATTGCGCGATTAAACCATAGAATCTGTATGTATTACACGAGATCTATGATTACATAGATATTTTAGATATAAACAGACAGTGTAGAACTAGTTTTAATCAGTGAAATATTTTGAGCAATTAATTTATGATAGTGTAATAGGGGAAGAATTTATATCGAGATTGATGGATCCTAATTTCAAAAATGAATCAATAATTAGCTTTGTAAGGATGTTTGTAGTAGTTGATTATGTTAACTTTTATTTATTCTTTTTTAACTCGTTAATGATATATCAATCCTTGTATAGATTTCGAAGAATGGATTATTGTGCTTATATAAACAATACTCATTGATAACTATTGTCTGGGTACTGTTTTGAGTTTTTTTTCAATTGTAAAAAGAAACTCAATTCTTGGTGTTTATCTTCTCATAGCTTAGCTTAGTATACAATTGATATACGAAGAAACAATTGATTTACTTTATTACAAAATGATAATGAAGAAATTAATTAGCGATGCTTCGCGAATGTTACTTGTCTTTCCAGTTTAGCCAAAGAGAAATTTTCGTTGTTTGAAATAATGTTAGCGTCGATCATCCGTGACCCCCACAATATTTTAGCACGTCACAATTGAGAGTATTTTGAAAAAAAGAGGAATTCTGTAGTACAGGAACGATCGGACATCAAATATCTGGAGACGATTATACCTCGATTATAAATATAAAAAGTAAAACAGAATTTTTGTTGGAAAAATACTCATTCAAAATGACAGCAAATAGTTACTTGAAAACATACGAATCAAGCTCGAACAATTGGATGCAATTATTTGAATGCCTGTGTATAAGCTGCTTAAAAAATTCTCAGTCAAGGCTATCGATTTGAGCCAATGACGAACAGAGAAACAGTAGATATTTAGTAAAGTGAAGATCAGTGAAGTCTTATTGGCGTCACGACGCCATATTCACATCTTCGTCAGAAATAACTAACATAAGTATATTCAGTAGGTTCGACGCCAGTAAGCAGATCGCAAGCGTACCGGTCGCATTAGTTTGTCCAATCGTGTGTGGAAGTGTGGAATAAAAGAAAACGAAGAGATTCGTTAATAAACTATTATTAAATCAGCTTGTCAATATGTGACTTGTGAATAGTAAATATGACTTGAAATCATCGAAATTTCTGTCGATTTTTCCATTAACGTCTGTCGGAATGTCGAACAAATTTGTTGGCCGATTCTAGCGCGACTGCTAAACATGTCTTCGTTCGGTTCTACTCGACTTTAATCACCGTAATAGAAGCAAGACCGAAAAAAATTACTGGTTTATTTTGTTTTTTAATTTTTTTCGTAATAAACACTGCTGTAATTTACCGGGCGTGTTTTTTTCAGTATAAAAACGTGACGTCGTGAATATTTTTAATTAAAAAGATAGAAAAATGCTCTCTTGGATAGTTGTCTTCATATACCGGCGGACAAACTGTGTAACGTATATAAATATGGTGTAGTGTAGGCAAATAAGCTGCGATCTCAGTCGCGTATTTACTTGGCCAACGATCACGATCCAAACACGAGTCTTTCTTGGTTCTGAGACTCTTTAAAGTTTGTACTGGTAGTCAAGCAAGATCTTTGTGACTATTTAAATTGTTCTTGTTTGTTATAATTGTTTAATTGTATTCACATATGAAGAAGGATCAATGGAATTTTTCTAGAGATTTATTGTGATGAAATATTTTGCTGTTGTTTTTCGTAAAGTATTGTTCGTATCTGATTATTCTTTTCTGTAGATATTGTTTTTCTCAGACATTATCTTGAACATTGGATGTTTCAAAGCTTCGTGACGATTGTATATATATAGAGAGAAATATGTCAAAGGCCAGTTTCTCATAACGGCGAAACTATGAATTTTTTTTTTCTAAAAAACGAAACCTTTGGACATGTGGCATTGAAATTCTAACCTAATCTAACTTAACGAACTACTTCTTAACCCATCACAACTCCGAGTGTCCAGCATCAAAAATTTTTTGTAAAAATTGGTGCGAGTGTGCTAAACGGCCCTGGACGTATACGTTACATATAGGATTTTTCCAGGACCACTCTGGAAAATGTCAAGTTTCCTGGAAACTGCCAATACGCAAGAAAAAAAAGTCCTGGAAACTGCCTTCTAACATATATATATATAATTGCACTGCTTTCTTTTAAAACCGCGTAGCTATTTCTTTAAAGTGACGTGAACACACTTGACGACTGATTAGATAAAGTAGAATAGAGAAGGCGTTTTTCACGGTGACACACATGACTTATACAAAATAGCTTTTCTGCTATTTTCATGATTTTGTATAAAGCTGATATATTTTTGAATATAAATTTAGATACGTTATTTTAATTGATTTTGAAATCATAATAATTTTCATATTAGTAGATTGCGTATACGTATTTGGTCAAAATAAAATTGTAATTAATAAAATGCCACTGATGAAAGTGAAATTTGAACTAGCGACAGCAAACTAAAATATTCGCTCATAATAGGTGATAATTAAGGAGTGATTTATTATCAGATATTAATAAGCTTAATTATATTCCACTATCAATACTAAAAATCTTTATGCATTAATATTCGTAATTAGCGATCACTCAAAACCCTTCATATTCCTAGTACATTTAACAATTGCAAAAGTGAAACTTGAGATTAAAAATAAAACTACTTATGCCAGATGTGAATCTACATAAATACTTCATATATCAAGATTATCACGTGGTAGACGTAATTAGCTAATAAGCAGTATTAAATAATTGAGATTAAATTCGACAAGATTTCCACACGTTTGGCTTATAAATAAATTGAAAAGTAATGATTGTGAGTGCAAGAAATCACAAGTGGACTTGTTGTTCGAGTTCTAAATCAATGCAAATCGTGATTTCTTATCAACCTTTATAACCTGTAAGTATAAGTCATGCATATAATAATCTATAATTTTACAGAAAAGTCAAAATTTTAAATAACAGATATTTTAGTGGAAAACTTATTGAGTCTAATAATATGATTATAGATACAAATTGTAATATTATTGTAGACATAAAATAAAGGTTGGTTAAAAAAACTATTATTTCCAATATTTGGGACAAGACTCTCCCATGTGACTTATTCATACTATAGAGATACAGTCACAACACCTGTGCATGCTCGGATCACCATTTAATGACTTACAATACAATATTTTATGATCAGTCGTAAGACAATTGTGGAAAACTTGCTTCGATAAAAAACTTTCTATCAAAGAAAACAACAAAACATTGAAACATAGTACCTATAATACCTAAGTTATACATGCTAATTTTAACGTCGTATAAACCTAATCAGTGATATATCTGTGCATGAAAACTACAGTTGAATTGCTTTGATTCAATGCCTAAAAATTTTTTCAAAATAAATATTACAATTCTTAATCATAATTCAACGTCAACTCTGTATACTATAAATACGTATGACGACTTTCAATTATCAATAAATCAAAGAAAGTATTTTTTTCTTTTGTTCCAGAATTATCAAACGTCAAACTGACGTAGCATATAAAAAATCAGTTTCTCCCAGGATACGCGGTCTCCTGATGTCAATTATTTTATTTGGGTCGTCTTATAGATGGCATCGAACTCGATCGAAAAACAATTCTCGCCGGTACAGGGTTCCGTACTAGTACACAATATCCATTTATCCTCATCCCATCCGTCATTTCCGTACATCAACTTACAACAACACTTTATTATATCATAATCAAATCTCAGATGCGAGATAATCAAAGTCGAACAAAATTATAGACACACCCTGATTTTACCTTGTTGGCTAAATTCTTGGCAATGAAAAGTACCTTCAAGACAGGGCCGTAGGTATCGCTTATCCATTCTCATCATCATCATCATCAACACTAGAAAATGGGTTGCACACCCAGTACCGTTCTCGACTGTATGAGGGATCATGAAAAGTTGGAGAGTCGCGCATCATACGACGGACAAGATACAAAAGACTCTTTAGTCAAGTATGGTGAGTATACGTTTTTGTTAAACATTGTCAAAATGTTACTTTTATGCAAATACAAGGTTAGATTGAAACTGTGTAAAGAGAAAGTACATATGCAGTAAATGATTATTCTATCTAGTAATAATTATGATATAATAAGCATAGGCATACATAATATTCACCGGTGCGTGCTTTTAGGTTAGAAGACTGTGTATTTATTTCTACAAAGACTCTCTAGTACCTGACTCTCCGTGTCTAGCGATCACGCTCGAAAATCATTGAGCAAGTCATTTACTACGTGTCGCGTGCACGTGACGTTACCTTCCAAAACTTGTTTCGCAATTCAGGACCAATAGAGAGGCAGTGAGTAAATGCTGCTTCGCAGGTGCTGAAACGTTGTTTTTATGTTGTCATGCGAACGATACTTTAGTGGAAGCTCAAGAATCTGTGAAGATGTTTGGGAATGTTGCCATTTATCCCAAGATACGTACAATTCCAAATACTTTTAATATATCTGGGCTTCTTCGTACTTTTATTTTATTTAATTTTTTTTTATTGTAAAGAGAGCCGAAGCTCACGGCAACAGTCATTCTCCTTGACCCAGTCTACCACTAACCACCATATCAACAGGAGTCATCATTCGCGACACGCATTAATCAGGGCCTATAAGAAGTTACGAAGATTCGATTGACTGTATCTTGATCCTCGAAATATTTAGTTGATATACTTATCGATAGCCTAGCAGCCGTCAAAATCGTTCAGTTTAAATAAAATATTGATTGATTAACAATGATTTCGTAATTCATGGTCGATAATAACTTTTTAGGAATATACTCACGCTGCATGTAGATCATTCTTATCGTGATCTTCACTTTGAGAATTATAATGTCACTCTTTCAAAGAATACGTGTATACAGGTGGTTGCTATTAATTTAAAGTGACAACAAAAGACAATTCTTGATAATCAATTTACAGGTCTTTTCAATTGCAGTATTTGACAGCACTGCTTCATTGAAATGATTCTGTAACATTTTTCACCTGCAACCGTTACTTATAATCTTGGATGGATCTTGTGTATAATGAGATTATCTGTAGAAGTTATTTGAAAATTGGTCAATTCCTTATATACGTCGTAGGCTAGCATTGGGGTGCGATGAACTTCACGTATGACTAACACGTGAAAGATATTATACCTAATATCTTGTATCAATAAATTAATTTCTTTACACTGTTACAAATCCACATTCCTTGATTAAAAGTCAAAAGATACCTTGTTGAAATATGCAAGTCTTGTATCAACTGCCTTAGGCAATTCATTATTATTAGAATTATTTGAAATTTTGGTTGGTATCGAATATTATATGTATATTCTGAGATCTTTAATTAATAACACGTATAAGTTTGCACCATGGACTCTTTATTGCCTACCTTAGAAGCCATGAGGAATAGTTGGTTGATTACAGTTTCTAGATAGCATATACATAGCACCAATAAATATATATTACCAAACATTGATTTATCGATGGGTAACTTATGCAATGTAATACACGCGTAAGTTTTATGACTGGGAGGGTTAAGAAAGAGAAAAAAAGAATTTAGGTCCACAGAAATCATAAGAGTTATACAGTATTGCTTTACATAAGAAGTCGATATTCTTGGTCTGTCTAGAATCTCTATGATACTGGTTGGTATTAGTATAGAAACGGTAGGAGATGAAAAGATTTTTATAATTTTTTTTTTGAATTTTCTAGTAGTCAAATTGTAATGGATGGATTCGTAAATTTTTGTATTATAAATATTTATAGGCTGTATCCTTCAAATGTCAAAACCCATCAAATGTAACTTCTGAACTTGCAACAAAAGTAGAATAAAAATTTAATGAAAAAATTGGAATTTCCCACTTGTATAATGTAAAAATATTATAGGACAATTTTAAATCAATTCTAAAGTGTTTAATGCCAATTATCTATCATATACTAAACAGCTTAATTGGACATTGATAACATGCCTGTATAGGATTGCTTATTTAAAAAGAATAAACGGATCAACCTCAGTATCCATATTATAAATAGACATCATCAATTACAATACTGTTCGATTATTGAATATAGATAGGTGAAACGAGAGGAGTCCAATATGATATTACTATATAGCGAATCGAGAATATAAAATCGAGATAAAAATATTGCAGCTTCGAGTCAATAAATCTACCTTATGAAATACACGTAATACGAAATGGCATCCAATATAAATAATTCAAATTTACATCTGTCATCATTCAGTAACAACGCGCACAGTATGGAGTTTCGCAAATCAATAAATAATAAGAATTAATAAATCGCACAGTGAATCTTTCATGTAACAAGACATAATGACCTCTTATAATCAGCAGAACATGTCATGACACGTAGTAATGTTAAGCGCACTATATGCCCAGTACAGATCCTACTGTAGTTGTTGTACATATGCGCAACAGACAATCTTTATAAATCGTGGCTATTACGGGAAGTAAATATCACATTCATAATTCATTAAAGCCAATTGTCAACGAAGAGGATCGCGCAATGGAATATCCGTAACATTAGTGTATTAAAGTATCAACAATAAGAATATGATTGACAAGATTTCTAATCGGACAATATGAATATTTTATAACCATATTGTATACGCTTGTATAAATTATTTTGTGTTTTCAAATGACTATCTAGCACTGTATGTACTCAATTTTCCTCTATTTGATATGACGTTAAAATTACCGACGTCAAGCAATTTCTCAAATATAAACAAAATAGTTTTATGATAGATTATACAAAATTAGTATAGATATTATAGTGTTGAGAAGCAGCGAGTATAGTAAATTATACATATATTCTATATAAGCCTACCGTTCAGGTATTGCCCGTGGCTATCACGCATGTCACTCACTCACTCGCTCTTTCGCTCTTTCATTCGTTCGCTCACTCACTCATTGACTCTCGAAAGCACAATATCTTCTCAACGATTTGGATAACAGTCAGTTACACACCGCGCACGATACTTCATCGCGATTATCCCGTGTGCAGTCATAAAGCATGAACTTCGTTAGAGTTCATCATAGTACATCAGGATCGAGAGGAATATCAATGTGCAATTGGATCGAGTAAATAGTGCTAGAAGACCAGAAAAACGATAAATAGGAGTCGTTCGGACGGACTACGTGAAACAAAGTGACAGTTGGAAAGAAAAGTGAGGACGAATTGTCGTGAATTATTTTGTGAACAATTTTCTTGTATCGCGGGGATGCCAAGCAATGGGATTAGGGAGAATTGCGAACTTGTGATTTTATTGAATACATTTATCTGATTATTTCGTTCTATTCTAACTGAATCAGCGCACTCTTCTTGCGGTTCACTTTTGAAAAAACGTGGCGCGCATTGTCACTCACTTGTACGTGTTGACTAAAATAATACAAAAGTGGTTGTAAATTGGTTCTTACTAATTTCAAAAGAAGAATTCCTTGAGGTGATTTTTAAATAATGTGCTTCGATTGTATGATCAAAGTCTCATGTTGTTTTTGTTGTATCCGGATGTTTTTCATACCACGTATATAAATATTTCTGTACTGTTTACACGGCATGGATAAATCCTTAGGATTTATATCTAACGACAACACTTGTGTGTTTTCGTTGTATGAAGACTTACTAATGTATATATCATTAACATTCTCAAATTCGATCTTTCACACTCTCCCCGCGTTAATACATGAGCCTTAATTATAATAATTCTTAATAATTATTGAACGGGCTAGAATGACCAGGTATAGGTGTAATATATACGCCGTGGCAGATATATTTCATTACCTGCAGGTTCTTTCGCTCTCTATAAAAGTCTCAAGGAAACGTCCGGCAATAAACGGCTTCTAAACTGGTCCTACTGCGCTAACCTAGTTTCTCAGCTGAAATGTAAAAGTGTTTTAATATATAGCCGAAGGTTCAAACTCGCGTGGGCAGATGATTTCTACATGATATTTTTCGTCGGCCTTGTATAAAACTATCAATTAAACACATTTCTGAAGTTCCAATCATACGATTAGCGTCTTAGTCATTGATTGGTTTATTTTTAACAGATGACAATGGCCGTATTCCTGATCAGCCAATTAAGCCAGGAAATAGCCCAGTTTCACTTATTTAATTTGATTGATGGGATTAGCTTGAATCGTATAGATGCAAGATGTCGATAAAAGGGATTTTGTGTAATCCTTCAATGCTATAAAGTTTTGGTATCAATTTAATTCATTTTAAAAGGTACAGTCGTGTTGTGAGACTTCCGAGTATGGTTGAGTTATTGCTGTAGGTATAACTTTCTTTTTTTCTACGGGTCAACTTTCGTGCACGATTTCGATGAGGAGCCAACGATATCCTCGAGATTGCTTTATTCGTTGGGTACAAATGGTGCTTGATATCAAAGCAACGTATCAGATGATATTGCCTAAACGATTAGATTTTATTGGGACGTATAAATACAGAGAGACTTTAGATATCGTCGAATATTGTCCCAAGTGGTAAGAGCCTCGATTATAAGTCGAACGCGGTAGTTATATTCAATCTGTTAATGATTCGTCATTAAATGACTCCAGTGGTATCGAAAATATCCTATTACCTTTATTATTGGTCGACTTATTTCAACTGATTATTTCAATAAGTTTTGGTCATCAAAATCCACTCGGTCTACTTTGTCCGTTTATTGTGTGTGTGATATGCAAATTTATATCCATACTATTGATGTAACATACAATTTACAGAATAATCATTGTTGATAATTTTCTTATCTATTTGTAGATGTATGTATTTTTTTTACAAATACTAAGTCACGTTCCTAACTTAGTACTTTAATAGAGTTTTATATTATTACTTTGACTAACGCAGTAGTGAACCACAGACGCGGAATGCTATTTAAAGTTTATCGTTGAATATTAGATTTATCGAATATTTACAATAACGAAAGCGACTTAAATTCATTAATCGTCATCATCGTCATCATGGGATATGTGAGTGTGCCTACTCTATTGTCGTCACGTCTCTCTTACGTTAGATGATTGCGAGAGGTAGAAGGTGATCCATATGACATCCTCTTTGGCGGAATGTTATCTTCTCAACGAAGATTCACAAAATTTGGAAACAGACAGCGAGATACTACACAACGGTATGTAGAGTGGGAATAGCATATTGGCGGAGGGGAAAAAAATAAATATCACGTGACGTAAATTCAAATTGAACAAGTCCCACGGTTTATTTCAAATAGAACCATAGACACACAATAGAGAACATAGACGTAAAACTAAAAAATCCTAAGAGTCTATATGAAGTGTTGATAAGAAATTTTTCAAAATATCAATTGTTCAGTCAACACAGAAACGTTTACTCTCGCTAGAAATATCTGCCTGTACGAGAAATGGATCTTATTTATCACAACGTCTGAAGCACCGCAGTATCAATTGATCGGACATGTATAAATGTAACCAATAAGTACCGGATGATTTTTAGCGAAGAAAATGTTTGACGAGTGGTATATGGAAAAATTTTGAAATGACTGCTTTACATTTAAAAAAATTTTTTACTACTCGAGTCATCATTGATTTTTTTGCTTTTATTTCACCAACGCGATCATGGCAGGCAACCCTATCGAAACTTGTGTTATATACCTAGCAACGATTTGCGTCATGACATTTAATCATCCACGCGCATACTTTATCGGCCCAAGGAAATACTTTAATACTGCGTCCAATAAATATTGACACGCCCTGAAAACAAAAAAAGCGCGTGAAGCAGCGAGGAAATACCTTAAGGTTGTCAAATGAAATAATCCTAACAGCAATACAACGTGATAGTACGGTGCATCGTAGACCTAGGTAATTTTTAATTTTCTTAAAGAAGTGGCCTACTATGTTTGATGGTTGTTTTGGAATACATTAGTTCTGTGCTTTGCTCTTGATTCTTTATTGTATAGAGAGATTGAGAGCACTCCTCAATCAAACCTTGCAATCATATGTACAATTACGACTTAATTGTACTTAATTTTTTCTTATAATTCTTGACGTCGGATCAACGCACTTACTATGCGTGGGGTCTGGGCATTGTGCATTGTAATTGAGGTTGGTGGGTTGGATTAGATAATTTATAAATATTAAAAAAATGAATTGTTATACATTGATAAAAATTCTATGTTATCCATCGATATCGAGGGATTGACAGTGTTTTTTGATTTTTAATAATAACTTCCAGCAGACGCTAATATTTCGCAAAGTTGATAAGCCAAGTAATAAAATCGAATCTCCAATCGTGATAAGGGCTGAGTTATCCTCGGCGGTTAATGCTATCATGGCAAACATCGCACAGTTTAGAATTTTGTAATCATTCAGGATGTACAGGGTACTTGAGGTAAAATTAAAAGCACTGACGCCACGTTAGATAGAGATGTCATGATAATCTTTCCTGACTATTAAGGAACGTGTGTTATCGACATTATAGATGTATATGAAATAATAATAAATAGTAGTGCCATTTATATAAATAATTTTTGTGTTTTATACTTCAGTATATATATATATGTATATTATGAGTATATTTTTATTTCAATATGTTACTCGTCTTTGCAGGTGACGAAACGGAGGACAATCGGTTGGAAATATTTGACGCATGGAGTCAGAAATCAATAACGGGCCAAACTATGTCGACGATAGATGACGACACGGAATACACAACAGCCGTAAGTTAATTTTTGTAAGATTCTTTTTACTTGTAAATGCATTGCACATTGTTTCCTTCTTTGCCTAAGGTTTCATTCAAATTCAGATAAAAAATTATACAAAGACATTAAAAGTGTAATCAAGCGTAAGATCTGCACGTGATAGTTGATCGAAGTGCAAAAGTTAATGTGCAAATATCTGTATCAGGTTCTCTAGTTTATTTTTGTCTTGTGTCTTTCAAACGAAACTTTTCACCGTTCAGACGTATTCGTGTAGTTCTACGCAACACGATTTAATCATGTACTGATAGTCGATTTTCCCGTTTTAATTCTTCCATGACGTTTGCGTGACGTATCGATCACGTCCCACCTTATTGTAGTATTTGATCTCACGTATCTATCCGTTATCCTATCGTAATTACCTTTGCCATTGATAACGTCAACAAGGACGAAAAACCGATCAATTTTTAAATATCCCTCTCCAGCTGATAAAAGCCAAGTGATCCACAATGATACTTATTTTTGTTATTGTTCTACACCGAATCGCAATTACTTTGCTTTTAATCATTTGTCCTTGTATTTGTTTGCTAATGCAGGACAATTTAATTGAGAACGAAAAGAATTTTTAAAAGAAAATTAAAATGCATTTGAAATTTTTTCACGCTCTTCCTAGAATGATAAATTTTTTCCGACACATATTTATCTTGTTTGGGAAGAGTTTTATCACAAAATTCATATCGATCCGATGCGATGACAATACCGATATGGTAATATCGGTCTATATGTGTCCTAACATACATACTAATCTAAAAGTGTCCAAATATTTATACTGTCGTTTAAAATGAATGCTAAGTTCCCTCATGGACTATACTTTACACGAGTTTACACAATCAGCTGACAAATTTTACTGTTAACTTAAAAAAATATACACGTAGTACTTAACGTGTGGCAATTTTACGATTAATTTTAGTGTTTGTGTCGTGGTATTTCCCGAGTACCGTATGCAGCGATGAATTTTCATTAATTTGCTTTGAGGAACTCTTAGATGTCAAAAAAACAAAATATTTTATTTTTTTTTAAATGTTTCAAAACATTTTTATTCTACGCGTAAAAATCTATGAATTTCCCAAGAATATTTTTTTTGGAGACTTCTCAGTGCATAATGAAGCTATATACAGATCCTGGAACCACAGGAAATCCGGCGTTGCGACACTTTAATACCATGTTGAATTTGTATTATTGGAATAAACCTAATCGAGCACATTAAATGACGTTACGATTGATCGAAAAATCTTTTTCCTTATTGAAATTACAGCAAATTATAGAGAAATCCAATTAACGTTTTCTTCTTGTTCCTTAAGGCTTTATGCCCTCATATAGGGTCGAGTATCAAAAAAAAACAATTAACAATTGCGAATTTGCGAACTGTGACATTGAAAGTGTTCACAAAATTGTATTAATAATTTTTATCAGTGATTATCTGTCTGATGATTTGAATTAATGTGCACGTGTGAAATTTTAACGCTTTTTTTTTACTATCCACCATCTGCTGTTTTCTTAAGCAAATTTTCACGGTACATTTTACTTGATCCAAGTTGTTGTGGTACACAGAAAAATCATTGCTAGAGCATTGGGTTAATCTTTGTACAACAAAAAATAATAACCACACTAATTCCGTCTCGAGTTTGCCACTGCGATTTTAAATCTCAGTAAGTTTAATTTTTGCGAATATTACTAGAATTCTTGTAATTCTTACTAGAAACTTGTTCTTGTCCAAATGCTAAATATTGTTTTCATAATCGCGACTATACATTTCTTTCGGCGTATGAATATTTTTTCCTTAACAATTTTAATCACTGATTTTTAATTATAAACCTACCGATAATTTTTTATAAACCTATTTTTGACTTTAAAAGGTGCAAATGACCCGTCGATAGTAGGTTTAGTGTTAAATATAAAAATGTTCTTCCTTTATTTACGAAAACGTCATACGAGTCTATCGATAGCTATCAGTATATATGTATTATTAGAACTATAGAAAACAGTACATTTCCCAGGAGTTACGATAGTTTCTCCAAGGCGTCGCATCGCACTTGTTATCGGTAACAGGAGATTTTATTACGAAGATACGAAAGTTCCGATCTTGATATACGATTGGAAATGATCAGTCCATCGATTCGTTTATTCATCGGTTAAACAGCACATACGTGAAGTTGAAGGCGAATCGATTACGAAAAATTACGAACTGAATTTAATTAAAGCTCAAACAGCAAATTTAAATAGAACGAATCGAATTGTGAACCGTGCTTAATAATAATCACCAATACAAAGACACCACTATCGTAATAATATGTAATTAAAGTGAAGACCTGATTGACTAAATAGGTATGAAAAACTGGGAAAAATGACATTTGTACAAGTGCAATAAGTCATTGGAACTATGTTGGCTACGTAATAATTAATTGTTTTTTCAAATCGATAAATAAATTTAATGATGGTGCCTACGTAATAAATTTCGAAAAATGAAACAGCGCGATCCATCGATGGAAGATCAATTAACACATATCGGATTACACACGATAAATATGAGCGACACGAGGCGATTGACACAGCCATCTATTTACGTGTCTCATCTGATAGAGAGCGACGACAGTTACAGCAAAATAAACGAGAGTAATGAATCCTGGTATGCAGGATTACTGGATATGCTTTGTGTGCCCGTGAGAAAGAAATGTTTCGCAAATACCGACAAGATGCAAGTGAAAGTTCTAGCTGCGCCGAATTGGCAGCAGCCTCTGTCTCGGATTCAAGTAAGATTTCACGTGGTACGGATAATGAACCTTGACGAGTGAAATTTTTACAATAAATTCCATCAGCGCGATTATAAAATATACACGTAGTAAAAGATTTGGCGACGTCTACCTGCTGCGGAGACGCGGTTAAATAAAAGCTATTTTTTGTTTTCAGTGACTTTTATTTATATCGATTGCAATAACATTTTTCGAACAAAGACCGTGCAGCTATCTTAGCTTCATCGCATCATAGTCACGCATCGCATAAATAATATAACGTCACAAAAGTCGTTGCTTCGATTAGTTTATACGTCCATTGGAGGAAATGCACGTGTTGTTTCTTTATTGCGAAATGCAATTGGAATTGCTACAGCACAGACAGGAAATGTACAGGAAAATATACTTTAAATTCTTCCAAAAATTTCTCAATATTTTCTTACTAGACTGCAGGATGTAGGAATAAACTATTTGTGTTGCTAGCCATTCGCAAAGTCTCAGCAAATAATATTTGACTCAAGAGACAGAAGTAGCTGTTTTCATTAGTTTGTATATGCATTGGAGGAACTACTCGTGTTCTTTGTCCTTTCGTCTTTCGTCCTTTGTTGCGAAATTCAATTGAATTGATTATAGTACGGACAGGAAATGGTTATGCAATAAATTGCTCCAAGAATATTTCTATATTTTTTTACTACACTAAAAGCTGTACAAATGAACTATGTATGTTGTTTGTCATTCACAAAATTATAGCGTTCAATTGAATCCATTGAATTTCGTTTTTGTTTCATCAAGCGTTCTTTTCCGCGCACACGCTGTAATAACTGTGTAAAAAACAAATGACTAGACAAATTTTTTAAATCAAGTTCCAGAGTTACTTCTGAGCTCGTAGAAAATTTATTATTGCTTGCGAGATAAAAAAAAGTTGAATTTTCTTTATAACTTTTTTATGAAAGATTTGTCGAGTTCTGTTACGAACGCGAAGGTTCGGTTGCACAGATCAAAATGTCCACGGACGAGACGTCGTGAACGCATATTGTGGAAAGATGAAGAAGAGCGTGATACAAAAAATTTTCAAAATGTCGTAGTAAATATAATGAAATTATGAAGTGCCGCTAATCTTTACGAGAGACTCTTAATTATTTTTGTTTCGCAGAAAGGACCTCAGGATCTAAAACCAAGCTTACTGACGTCCTGTATTCCTGGTCCCGTCAAAGTAAGACAATTTGTTTTAGTTTGTCAGTCGTTGATGTCGACAAATATTTTTAGTACGAAAATCACAAATCTCGTTTACACTCTTTGTTTTCTGTAAATTATACTACTTTACTTATTAAGACAACAAAATCTTAGACTAACACTTTTACGATGCTGATACACTAGATTTAACATGGAATTACGATCTTTATAATTTCTTGTTAACAGATATTATTGGCTTTTGGTCGTGACGATCAGCAGTTGGAGGTTCTTGGAAATGTAGCGAGAAGACTAGGCTGGAGCGTTACAATAGCAAGAACTATTGAAAAGGCAGTGGAATCATTTCAAAATCGATGTCATGATCTCGTTATCATTGATCGCAGAGGACAACGTAGTGCGGAAGGAGATGCTTTTTGCAAGTATGTTTTTTTTTTTAATTCAAAATCTATTTCAAATGTTGAGCACGTTCTCATAATTATGCGAGTTGATAGAATCGAACTGTCATGTGCTGTTTGTGCTGTCAATATATGCTGACAAAATCACGCACTACATAGTATATTATTTGTTTAAAGATTTAAAAAAATTAAATACACATTGACAAAGAGTTAGAGCATGTTAATTAGTGTATAGTCCTAGACAATTTTAATTCTGTACTAATATGAATCCACGTAGTCGTATGCTTATGCTTTTGTAATCAGTATCAGAAAAAATTTTGTTTAGATAAGTTGAGCGTTTAATAATTAATTTATGTTTATCCTATCAACAGGGCCATTAGAAATATCAACTGTAATCAAAATTGTGTGATTGTGGCGGTTGTGAGAAAATCGTGAGTATGACAAACATTGTCAGTTAAAGTTTGATTGTAAAAATTCTTAATATATGATACCTTATTTTTTACAAATGTCTTTTAAAAAAACTAATATAGTTAATTCCGTCGACAATTGGACACGTCATTCTCTGATAAGGAATAACGTGTTGCTGTGGTTGTATTTTTTTATTTTGTATCTCATCGTTAATCTATTTATATACCACGCCAACTATACGTCACACGCTACCTCTTCTAATCTCACTGAAAGTCAATTTTTATCAAATACAATGAGATTAAGTTTAATACTCGAAACAACTACGGTCCTGCTGTACATATATGAAATTACGCTACACGTGTACCGTTTAAGATAACTTTTTATTGGAAACTAATAGAAACTTCTTGTATCATATGTACAGATTTTACAAATTAATGAAATACACAAGTTCCCCTTTGTATGCAAGTCTCAATTTTTTAGATTTCTGATGAGTTCCGATAAGGATGAAATCGTCACCTTGGACTTATTGGGAACTGGATTCAACAGAGTAAGTTCAAGCAGTAGAATACCAATCGAATAAAGAAACGTGAAGACAATATCAAGTGAAATAATAATTTATGAGGACACATCAATCAGTTTTGACAATTGTACTTGTACGATTACCTCCAAGAATTGTCCATAGAAACAAAACAATCAAATCATTTGACATCTGCATAATTTGTGCATTTTAAATAATATTTTTAAATAACCATCTGTGCTTCCACTTTAAAGTACTTGCCGTTACACAGGTAATATGTATATGTATAAATTCTTTAAAATCGATTCAGTAATTCAATTCGCATAAGCTAGTTGTCTTTTTTATGCACCTTGAAAATTGTACCTTGATTATTTCTCGTGATTCAAGATGAAACGGCAGAGATGTAAAGTGCAAATGTGCGATTTGCGTGACTCGTTTTCCCAACGAGAAATGAAGTTAAACTATAATTGAAAAATGAAGTTGAAGTATAACTTGATAAAAATGGAGCAACGATTCAGTGAGAAGTAGAAAAAAAGAAATCAAGGAATGACAGAATTAAGTCCGTTTCTTCAACGCGGTTCGATGTATAAATTCCGTTTATCTTCAAAATGCAAGTATCTGATTGGCTAATAGCGCAATTAAACCAAGTTCACGCATTGAATCGTGGTCAAAAAAACGGGCGTTAGAAAATTTGAAGCAGACAGAATGTGGTGGTCGATGAATTGCTATTATGAATTGAAGTTGACGTGTTTTGTGATGAAGGATAGCAATAACTTTTTTTTTAATTGCTATATAAAAGGACGTTTGGGCGCAATGGAATTTCACAGTTGATCCATATTTTGCGTGTTGTAAATTTTGGAAGGACACGATTACCAACGATGCCAAATATAAAAATATGAATTCGATTTAGTCTTATTCTAGTTGGGTTTGGAATGCGGTAAAAATAAATAATATGAATATGATGAAACTTGTTAAGAATCTTGAAGAATCCGATAACCTTATTCTTCATCTAATTTTATTTTCTTTGGAATGTTACTGTACACTTGTACACATTGATTTCTAAGGATCAATTGTCAGAATTGAAGTTGTTTTTCTTTCTTGCAAAATAATAACTGGAAGTATTCTCATAAATTACATTCATTGCCACTGTCTACGTTACCTCCATTCAACTTCATTAAGATTTATGCATCATAAGTCATTAATGTTTTGTCATCATTCCAGGTGCTTATGGAATGCTCGCATGAAGGCATACTTATTAATGAATTGATGGGTATTTATGGAAGCGAAGTGCAACCAAGAGCACAACTAGCAGCAGCCCAATCATTGCATTTAGCAGTAGACAGATGCAGAGACATGGTGCACATAACAAATGATCATCATATTGTACAGGTATAAAAAATATCATTTCTAAACATACAAGATTTATTATGAAAAATAAAAGTTTAAATTTAGGGCAACACTCTAAGGCGCATCTATCTGAAGAACGATTCTATTGGTTGCAGTTTGTGAACAGAGCCAGTGAGAAGCTATTGGGTTACAAACCAGAAGAAATAGTGGGGAAGAATCTCCTGGAGATAATAACAAGTGAAAATTCAATCTTAATGGATCAGCAGTTGCAACGTGGTAGAGAATGGGAGGGCAATATGAATTGCAAGAGAAAGTCCAATGATACCATCACCATAAATTGCAGGATAATACCATTCTGTGCCAGTGGAAGGTCAGATCATAATAATTAAAACTTGACAGAATAATATATTTTCTATTTCAAGCATTCAATGCCTAGGAGAGAATAACAATAGTAAGCCTGTGTGGCAATGGAATATCAGAAATACTGATTGTGATGTTTTTATTTTCAAATGGAAACTTATTGAGAAAATATTTTTCAAACTCAAACTATGCTCTTACATAAGCTGTACTTTTATTTTATTGTCATTCAGTTTCAAGATATAGTTTCCTATTAAATTTATAAAACTAGCTTGAATGACTTTCCATTGATTTTCAAAATTTGTTTAATCCTTGTAACCTGACTATTGACTTTGAATATGATAAGATTACTCAGAAAAGAAATACGCTTTCAGGAAACCTACCCATTATGTCTATGTCCACGACACTACGTATCTGCTAGAAAATTTAGGCGTTGCTCCGAGCAGTACGGGAGTCCAACAGCATCCAAGAGGAAGTTTACATTCATTACGCAGAGGGTCATTCGACATCCGTTCAATCGGAAGTGACAGTAAATTTCGATGACTTTCATATAAATAGTATATAAAGAAAAGAAGATTGATCCTAAACATTTGTTAAACCACTCAATAGCACAAAGACGTTCCAGTCTTGCGAAATTGCACAATTTACCTCTGGAGGCACCAATCACAAAAGTGATTACTCTACTGACGAATGCAATTACGGAAACATCCGCTTCGCATCCGGAAGTTGCTATGCAAATTGATAAGGTATCATCGGATTCTAAACATAAATAATGCTCGGCCTACATTGCTAGGATAAATTTAACAAGTGTTTTTGGGACAAAAATTTACAAAAATCATTATGATGTTTCACAGGCGATTGAAACCTTAAAAACTACAGAATTGTATGTACCACATATGAGAGAAGATGCAAGAGCTTACAATGATCCAGTAGCTACTGACTTGGTCGAAGCTTTATTAGCGGTAAGTTCACTATATTTATTTTAAATACTCAATAATTTCTCCTAATGATATAATCAATTTTTTATAAGTCTCCAAATTATGGAAGAGATTCGAGAAGATCATCCAATGATTCTTCGGGGAAGCTTGCACCGATCAAAATGCTCAATACCCAAGGGGGTCGTGTACCATCTAAGAATTATCGAGCACCCCAGGAGATAATGGAACTATTAAATGATAGACTCAATTGGGACTTTGACATATTCAAGTTGGAACTCTTGTCTGGTAGAAGGTAAATTACCTCCAACAAGTACAATAGAAATATATAGTTTAGCTAATGTAATTAAGTAAAATTACTATTCAAATCTCCCATTATATTTCAGACCTCTAGTTTACTTGGGGATGAGCTTGATGTGTCTTTATCATGCACCTACAGTCTTAGGATGTGACGAGAAGACAATACAAAACTGGTTAACAATAGTGGAGATGAACTATAATCCAAATAATAGCTATCATAATTCTACGCACGCTGCTGATGTTCTGCAAGCCACTGCGAGGTTCATGCAATCAGAGAGATTAAAAGCAATTTTAAATCCATCCGATCAAGTTGCTGCACTCATTGCTGCTGCCGCTCATGATATTGATCATCCTGGGCGGTCAAGGTAACAGTGGTTCAATACAGATAATTTCTAGAATTACAGCGATTTGCCTATATAATTTTACAAAATTATTGTCAGCCAATTCCTCTGCAATTCCGACAACAAACTAGCAATACTGTACAATGATTTGACAGTACTTGAGTCCCACCATGCAGCTTTGACGTTCAAGTTGACTTTAGCTGATGACAGTGTCAATGTGTTTAAGGTAAGCCTTGTGTACAGCTTTATAAAACTTTTCCAATAGCTTCCTATAAACAAGTAGTGTTTCTTCGACTGTTTAGAATTTGGAAAGAGAATCATACAAAGTAATGAGACAGAATGTCATAGATATGATTCTAGCGACGGAAATGACGAAGCACTTTGAGCACCTTGCCAAATTTGTTAACATGGGCAGTAGTAGAATTGGAGATGGTCTATCAGAGGTAAATTATAATAATGATAATCGTTAAATAATTATGTACAAGAATATCCTACTATAAATTCATGAAAATGTCAACAATATTTCTTACAGCCTTATTCAGACTCTATAGATATGGCTGTCCTGATGCTGCCAGAAAATATAACGCTGGTCAAGAGAATGATAATAAAATGTGCTGATGTGTCAAATCCAACGCGACCTCTTAAATGTTGCATCGAGTGGGCAAGGCGGATCGCTGAGGAATATTTTAATCAAGTATTAATAATTCCAAGAACCATTAACCACCATATTTATTTTAAATTACATATTTAATCTCAAATTTCATATCAACAGACGGACGAGGAGAAGAAAAATAAAATGCCTGTTGTCATGCCTATGTTCGACAGAATGACATGTTCAATACCAAAATCCCAAATAGGCTTTGTTGACTTCATCATTAATGATATGATCGATGCATGGGACTGTACGTATTATCATACCACTTCTATAAAATTACCGCTAATTATATTTTAAAAGAAACAGTATCTCCACTACGTTTAAGAATTTCTTTTTTGATTCGTAATTATTCATAAAATTTTTTATTCTAGCCTTCATAGACATGCCTGAAATGATAGAATATATGAGACACAATTATGAGAAGTGGAAGGAATATCACGTAAGTTACGTCATGATTAAAGTATGCTCTATGTGTGTCTCGAGAATTGTTTTCAAATATTGTTATCTATTTTTTAGGATCAAGGTATATCGACACTACATGATGTGGAAAGGCTACAAAAGTTACCAGAGCTACATATAGCAAAACCGCCATGAAAAGTGTAGAAACTGTATATGCACCTCGGTAATAAGATTCTCCGTCCGATGGAAGGTACCTCTAGAAAGATCATATCATCAAAGTAATTCTATCGCGTAACATAGGAGACACTTAATGAACGATAACGATAAAATTGATAGTCGGAAAGAACGTATACGCTTTTAAATTATTTTTAATAAATATACACGGAAAGAATTTTAATCCTAAAAATTACCCTGACTGTCATGGTAATCCATGAACATTGACATTTTAGCCTATATCATAAAAACCTACAGTTGAAACAATAATGTAATTATAATGAATTAAGTCTTCATACATTTTACGAAGTCGTATGGTAAATTAATATATTTCAAGATATACCTACTTTAGTTAGATTTTTTACTCCATTAAATTTGAAAGTGTAAGAAAACTGTAGAAGTATCTGATATTGGTGTAAAATTTTACCAGGCAGCATATTACTCTGCGTCGTTTGAACTTCATGTGTAAAACAGCATTATATACATAATTACAATTTCTCTTCGCAGTCTCTGCAGCCAATTTTACTATACTGCAAGTGATGATAATCGATCGACAACGGTCCATTTTCAGTTATCGTAAGTCAATCGTATGTCATAACAGTCGAAGATCAACCGACGTAATTGCCATCATTTGTATGGAAGAGAAAAAAGCAACAAAATTACCATATATTTATTAAGAGATCTTTGGTTAATAAAAAAGACTACTTCGATTATACAATATCAACACCAGTTACTGGCACATTAAGAAGCCAATAAGGAAAAGAAGAATGCAAATCAACGTGAGTATCTGGATGACCTATAGATGAAGAGTGCGTTTCGTATTGATTGAATGCAAACTTTATATTTATTGTATATCACTCTTTGTTGTCATTGGTAGTCAAGCCATTTTGCAAATTATCATATATGTATTTTTGGCGACTTGTGTTCACCCCATAGAACGAACAGATTATTACCATTGGAACGTTATTCGTTTTCTTCTAATTTTTTCATTAAAAAAATAATAGTCATTATCATATTGTAGATACATGAAATAATCATAACAATTGTATATTTGAATAACTTTCGACAGCCAATAAGTATTAGTCATTAGAATGAACAATATTGTAGTCCCTATTATCGTTTCCTGTTCTGATAATAATTGAAATATTTTGCAGTAAATGTCGATGGTAGAAATAATGAATCGCTGGCAAAAGAAACAGATTTAAAAATAACAGTACAGTAAATGAATCTTGTATTGTCGTACAATAATTCTATATGTAAATAATTATAATAATCTTTCAGTATATTCAATTTCATAAACAGGCCCTCCCCTGTTCCTTATTGAAATTATTCTTACAATTAGTGATTTTCACCGAAGATACAGCATTTACTTTGCTATTCACTTTTCTCCATGTAGAAAAATCTTATCGAAAGTTTTGGTAATTTTTATCCCTAATTTTGCAGAAATTATCATACGGTTCTCTCCGTTTATGATATTATCATTACCGTACTAGCCTTTATCCGTCCAATTACTATATAACCTCCTCCTTTACATTGCATTCCATCCACCATTCTTCCTCGACTCTGATATGAATTTTCAATAATAAATTATTACCTCAAAAATCCTTGACCAGCGAGGTAGTCCTGTGATCTTGAACCCTGGATGACCTATTGCGAACTTATAAAAATCTTCCACAACTGCCCAACTGTGGATATATGTATGTATATCAGTGTCATACAAAATTTCCTCATACAGCGCAGGGTTATTGGAAAATATAATGATAATACATATAACAAATTGAAAAAAAAACACTTCGTATCATTCATCAGATTTCACAACTTTATTGTTTCCTTTTAAGCCAATATTTCCTTGCTATATATCTATATAGATGTGTCCTAGAGTTTTACATGGTATCGTGAGACGCGGAGAACTTACTTTCTCTTTACTCCTTACTTTCAAAATAGTATATTGGAAAAACAGAAGGGGTTAACTAAAAAGATTGTATTGTCGAGTAATGTCATCGATAAATGGCACCACTAGCGCTGATAATCTAGAGTATGCTTATATTGCTGTGAACAACTACACGTACAGAAGGAATAATAATAATAACGGGGATGTTTTTTACGTAAAAAATACAAAAGTACCATATAGTTATATTCATCATACAATGCAAACACCATATCAACGAACGTTACTAAGTTACACAGGGGACATATGTAATACATATATATACGATGTTAATAAATCCAGATCAGATCAAATCCACCATTACCTACACATATTATTGAGAGATAATGAATTAAAATTTGAGTATCCATTTTTTTTCTCTAAAAAGAGTACAATAATCGAAAACTACACATCGTTTTATCCAGTAGACTTAGTATTATCGAATATTTCCAAGTTTTTTTTTTCGTTATACAGTCAATTAATTATTATACTGTAATTAATTAATTCGAGTAAAAAGCTTGATTTATATGCCATTGCCATTAAATTATAATAATACTTCCGTGAAGCGATCATCGATTGTTAAACGTTTTAAGGCCTACCCTTTCGTACCGCTACGTTTTACAAACTATAATGCCGCATAATATTACTTATCTCCTTATTATGGTTATGTAACTTAATACTAAAACTATAATTGGGTTTCTGGTAAACGCAACGAATAATTGGTATTACACTTGTTAATGTGAATCTACGATATTACATCGTGATATGATTGAAGAGAAATCTGAGCAATATATAATTCAATATGTTAAAGACGTCTAAAAACTGTACTTCAATTTTATTCGCTCAGTTAGAGGTCCATTGAATATGTATATACCATAGATAAGGGTAGAAAGGTGATAGTTAAAATTTAAAAAAATAGATAATCAAAATACCATACATTTCTAAAAAAGCATATGAAAATTCGTACTGGGTCATCTTTTGGGGGGCTTCAGCATATATTATATGTAAAATTGTATGTGTAAAATATATATGTAAAAAGATAGGGTCAGAGAGTGTAGTAAAAATTGGAAAAAGTCTTGCGTGACGTTCAAGATAATATTTACGGATGTTAGAATAATTCAAAAGGCATTGTTTGCAAGAGTTATCCCATACGTTATACCTGCCTCTAAAAGTAAGGTTATACAGCATAGCGAATGATGTATGTGGATATATATTTTTTTGTTCTTTTTTTAATTTTTTTTTTGCGACTCTCATAGCTAAGAAAAGTACACAAAACCTTATGATATACATCCTACCCCAACCTGCACCGCTTTTCCATGGTGTTTCAAGGTTCTCGGATGCTTTTTGCCTTTCTTTCAAATAATCAAATCGAGCCCTAAGAATATTCTGTCATCGTTAATCATAAACGTGCCCTCCCTCCCTCTTCGCTTACTCAGACTGTTGTTCCTACGAACATTCTTCAGCTCTTAAAGGCAAAGCACTCACAATATAAAGGACGTCGTTTAACGTCAACAGGTCAAAAGTGAAATATTAATCAGCAACTGGCAATTCAAGCAAGTTAATCTTCCTTTCCAAGCATAAAATTCTTCAGCGATCAACACGATGAAATGGAAGAAAGACGTAACTTCATTACTTGTCCCACACTGTGATACAATGGATCGTATCAAAGTTCGTTTATACTCCAAAAAATCCGTCCCTCGAAATTTCCTAACCTTTTCTCAAAGCCAACCGAACGTTTCGAAATTGATATTTCAATGCGATAACATCCCACGCATAAAAACCGCCCGCATACAAATTTCCCAACATCCAGTAGATATTCAAGATCGCAACTCAACGTTCCCCAGGTGTGATTCAGCAAACGTAAAATACCTCGGGGTTCGAAGAGCGTCAGGACGCCAAGAATCATAAGTACACTAGAGGTGACTCGCAGCGCCGAATGAAGTCCACAGGATATTTTTGGACGAGTATAGTAAGATTTGTGCGTGGGGTATAAGTGACGAAAGAATAAGGGTTTGTAAGAGAGGGGGGTTCAAGGGGGCGAGGGGGGACTGCCAACCGTCAATTTTAACGGTGGAAGGGGAAGATCCTCCTCGGGACGCCTACGTCGTCTATTTAAACTCGAGGAACATTCGCGATTTCTATCAGAGCATAGAGAGAGCTTTTACAAGCCTAAAGTCCTGAAATTTTTATTTCGTCAAGATCCAAAGAGCTTAAAGACCGCAGCCATCGTTCACCGTACGTTTATAAACAGTTACAGATATTACACTTACGTATAACAGAGTTTTGCGTGACGAGTGCATTTTTCCTGACTTTAACATTATTTAACGTATCAATACGATAGAAGGTTTACGCGAAACCCTATCTTATCCCTATAATCGATAAATCTAACTGGTATTATCGTTATACGTGATAAAAAAGGCCTTATCACTCCACTAACATTACGTATTCAATAAACCTCGCGTCTCGTTTAACTTTATTCCCTGACTTGATGTTTAAGCCTACTTTTTTCTATTGATAGCAATGTCGTAAATACGTGCGCGCCCGCGTGTCAAACGTCAATATATCTCGTGCATGGAGAAACTGGCTCAATAAATTTTTCTTCTGTCAATTTCTTTTCATTCGATCCTTTCTCGTTGTTTGTGATTTTCAATTCAGACCCGACTTTGTGCATACATATTAATTCCAAAAACCGTTAAACGCGCTTAGTATTAGGTACAATGTGCTTAAACCTGACCGACCTTAAATCTCCGACACTTTTGACCCTAATCTAACTTAACGTAGTGTAATTAGTGGGACGTTTAAGAAGATATATAGATATTAGACAAGGAACTGTAAAGTGTCTACTGGTGCGCACGGATCGCTACGGTATTATTTGTATTCCGCGATTTTTTTGTTTTCGTTCCTTGCTAGAACTCACGATATTCCACGCCGATGATCACGCTTTTATTCCTAGCTATTCCTTGTCTCAAGCGTTAACCTCAATTTATGTTACGCACTACAAGATATTAAGTGGACACTGGTGAGATAAATTTTAACGTTCTGTGTTCTGCAAGAATTAGATCTTTAAACGATTAACCTAAAAATAATGAAGTGAGGTGAGATTTGATTTTTTCATGGTTAAAAATTCAATTTTCATTGCGTTTGTCCAATTATCAAAAAAAGCATCTCGATTCGCGTTTATCGACATGGCAGGCAATTATCATTACCCCGGTTTGTCGATCCTTGTTCTGTTTTGATTTCAAAAAATCGCTATCACACGTCACAATGCCAATTGCAAGGTAAAAATTTGTTGCATAATTTGAGCTCGTTACTAATTAATTTTGATGTCTTGTCACCAATTTTCGATTCTACGTTATACGTATAGGGGTGAGAAAAATCGCGTGGTTAATATGGGATTTGAAAGGACAAAAAATACCCTAACGCTAAGAAAATACCTATGCGAAACTATACGTCGAGATTACATAGCCTACGCCAAAAACACCGTATAATCTAATTGTGCGAGTTACAAAGACGCCTCGAATATTATTACCTCCGCTCGGAACCTGACTGTATCTAAACTTTGGCTCACCGGAAGGGATCGCTCGTGAATAGTGACCGTTGAACAATTCCGAATAATACGATTCTAAGAAACGGTAATCCGTGAAAAAACACTGAGATATTCAAATCGGAAGAGAAAAGGAAGAAAATCCTTTCAATGAGCCATTTTTAAATTTCCCGCCTGTTACTGTTACTAGAGCCGTACAGAATAACTTTAAAAAATTAGCACATACAATCCTAGCATATTAGGTATAACCTAAGCATAAGTCTACGCACCCATAGTATACCTTTAAATACCGCTACTAAAAGTTACACTCTTCCTACGGTAGTCAGTCGTGGTATACACAAAAGCGCTTTCTCGACACGCCCTAAAGATTTTTTTATTTTTTTTAAATTTTTTTTTGTTTTAATCCCTCTTTTAACCATTCCTCGCATTTATCAATCTCTCCTCGAAAAATCACCACAATGAAAATGACTCGTCAATTAAAATTATTCACTTGGACTGCTTTTTTCTTTCACAATGTATCTCTCATTCTCCTCGTGACAGATGTCCGTCGTACCTCTCATGTATCGCGAATGGTGGGACGACTTCGATCGACCTACCTCACGACTCATTGATCAGCACTTTGGCAGCGGTCTGAATCGTGACGATCTTCTATCAGGACTCTCGAGCTTGAGCTTGAACCGACCAAGATCGGCATTTGGCAACAGTGGATACTACCGACCCTGGAGGAACGTGGTGCGTCAGAATTCTGGGGGTGCAAGTACAGTTCAGGCTGACAAGGATAAATTTCAGGTAAGCTTAATGCGGATTTTCATTGTGTTATTATTGCACCACGTTGCTTTTGTTGGACGAATCTCTAATTGCTCTACTCTCTGCTATGAAGTTGGGGATATATTTTGCGTTACTTTGCTTTGTTGGTACTGGGTTGATGGGCTATACAAGAATTTTATTACTTTATCTTGTAGGGACATCGTTCTTTGTAGTGGGTCTGCGTGGGATTTGTATAGAAAATTGTAACGTGTATCGCATTGCGTTGTTTTGAGGTTAGAGTTTGTTTCTTTTGGGACAAAGTTTTGTGAGAATGTTGAAAACTTTTTTTTATTTTTGTTGATTGTATTTCTTTACAACGAACAACCGTCGTCTTTTCCATGGCGCGGAGTTGGGCTGCCATGGAAAAGACGAGGGTTGTTCGCGAGGCTGAACTCTTGACCCTTGTTAGACCCCTAGTGTCTCGCTGAATCTATTCCTTTTACTACCACCTTCTACTCAAATGAATTTCAAGTATTCCCTTGTTGAAATGCCAGTAGAGTAATTGCTACCTTTTCCCCTCTTTTTTTAAGATATGCTTTTTTTACGCTTTTTCAAATTCGGGTAAAAACCAACCTCTTGACAATGATATTCAAACTACTCGCAACACATTTCATACGATTCGTGAAACGCGCAAATATGATAGGATATTATACGATGTTGTTTTTGAAATTTAAGAATATTCAGAACTTTTATATAAATTCAAGTGATGTCTGCTCTCTTTATCTCATGGGGCAAATTTGCATTTTTATTGTAGTAAAAACAGGAACGCTAATCGAAAGTATTATGTCGTGACCTCAGTCAAAACTAACTAGAGAACAATTTATACTGCTTTTATTATTAATTTTTAATCGAAATATCCTTTCCCACTGTAAACGTTATTTCCTCAAAAAGAAATTCAGCACCGTAGACGAGCAACGGCTATCTCGCAAGTATCACAAAATTGTGAAAACTTGTGGGATAGTCGTTGCTCGTCTCTAGCTAATAATAATTAAGTGAAAAACTAGATGGAAATTGTTAAATTACACAGGAAAAAATTGAGTGATGCAACAAATTATCAAATACTATATCGTAGTAGAAACAGACAAAAAATGTGATGTACTTAATAAAAAATTCGGAGAGTAATTAAAATATCAGTAACTCTTTCACTTCACTGGCCAGTACCAGAAGGGCACGATGGATAACACGATGTTAATATTACGTTAAGTCAAAAAAATATTTAAAACGAACTCCAAGACGTCGATGACCCAAGACACAGAATATTTGGAAAGACGAAAATTTGAAAATACTTTTTTTTTTAAATTTCAGAGAAGCGGTTGCAGGTTCTCGTTAATGTCTCGTATAAATATCGATAAACTATTTTACACTGGATAAAACGTGCCTTAATTTAAAATCGATTATTATTACTTTCCTTTTATGTATCTCGATATTTCTCACTATATAGACTAATGTAACTTAGTAATCGTTAGCAAACTAACAGCCACCGTCTTATGAGAAAATCTCTAAACACGTAAATCTCCCAGATATATCAAACGCACTACCTCCCAACAGTAAAGGTATCGGATCTTAAACTTTTCTCTTTTTTTTTTCACCTTTTCAAAAATCGTGCGTGCTCTTTGGATTTGTCTTATTGATGTTTGGCACGATTCTTTTTATCGTTTTCGTACGTTTGAAATCCCTAAGCATTAGCTATTATCGCGAGCTGCTAGTTGATCTTTAAATGCACGCACGCAGTCACACAAAAATAAAAGCCTGAGTAAACACTCTCCCTCTGGTACAACTCTTTCGATTAGGCGCCGAAGCATCTACGATTCTCACACGCTATCTAACACCATATAATATTACACCTTTGGATTCACGTGAAATCTGCGATTCAGGGCGATCGATGGGCTCTTGGCAACGCAAAGGCAAAAGTTATGTTAAGCGGGCGCATTCGTATTAAAAAAAAAAAAAATACTAAAAAAACAAAAACTCAAACTCTTGTTAAAAAAAAAAAGAATCGAGTCTAGTGTACTCAACGCATAACCGTGACTCTTAAATCAAGAGACAAACTAAATTCTGGATCGGCATACATCCAAAGTGCCATTGATCGTTTGAAACCAAAAGAAATTTGTTCAAAATTTCCAAAAACAAATTTTCTAAAAAATGAGAACACCAGAAGGCCCGCACTGCAAAAATTTTGGAAGTCGATTATTTTCGAGCATCGTAGCACACGTTTATAATACGTGACTCAGCTGCGCGTTCGCAGCTAGTGAAGTGTACGAATTATTTTTGGATTTGCCTGTCCTCCCACTGCAGCCAGAAATAGCCACAAGAAATTATCCGAAAATATCCGAGAAACTTTTTCCCCTGTTAAATACAAATCTCGAAAAGGAACTGATCTACTCCACCATCCCTTCTCGCCTTCGATCCTCCCGACCCTCTCCCCCCCCCCAACGTGTTCTATTTATCTTTTTCGACTACACAATTTTCCAGTGTTTTTTCTTGTTTCTTTTAGTGATAAATAAACATGTCAAATGCTCGGTTTATGTGCTACGATACCAAAGAATCACGGGCCTAATGTGATTTCGAAAATGCATAAATTAAGAAGGGCCTTCAGATGTGAAAAGTTCCTTTGCGAATAGGTTTATGGGGTAACGGAATTGCCGATTAAAAAATATGTCTGGAACTCAGTCTTATCGAGAAGAGAGAACGATGGACAGGAATTGGGCGTAACAACGCCCCCACGCGTCGGGGCGCCGCCCGTCGCGCTACACACCTTCGTTCGTGCTCCAAATATATGTATAGAAAAATAAATCCTTTCAATTTTTTTTATCTTAACGAGAGCGATCAGTATAAACTTTGCTTTATGTACAGCTATACAATTAACGTCCTCTACATCGAGGAGCGCGATAAATTAATCACAAGATCCGTTTGCCTTGCCTTTTCTGCTGTTATTTTACGTTAACTACTAAACAGCACGGTGTTCTCCTGTTTGGATAATGATATCAAACTGACACGGCACGGAACAGCCACATCCGGTTAACGCGATTCTGCAACGGGGCACGAGTCGATAAAGCTCATTTTATACGTTTTTGCGGTTGCACAACGATCTGTTTTTTTTCGATCGTGCAAATTCATTACCACCTACTTGTATGTAAACGCGCGTCTTGTACGAAAGAACTTTGTCTCACACAAGTAGGTGCGCCCGAGAGCTACATTTTTCCGGTTAACTTTTGTACTATTACAAAAATCAAGAAGACCGAAGAGTGTTACATAAAGCGCGGTAGAAAAGAACTTTTGAAAATAGTTTGGATAAACGTGACTAGTCTTTACATCTTTCAGAGGAACCTACCTAGGGCGCTGGATATCAATCTAAAAACTAAATTCTCTCCACTCTCACTTCACGCAATAATATAATTAATGAAAAATACGGCTTTGCCACAAGTTTACTTGCTTGTTCCCCCTGAGGAGGGTAACAACGCAAAATCAGCAGAGTGTAATCAGTGCCAAGTTATTTAAGTTTGCTAGTAACTAGCTATTGTCTTATAATAGATATAGAAGCTGACTTAGAACCAATAACCTTCAGAGATTTTTTCTCAATTTAAGTCACACACTGAGTGGATCAGTGTGTTTTAAGTTTTGACAGAAGCTTCTTTTTACTCTTGATGAGAATTTCAGTATTAACAGGATTTTTTTGCCAAGTACAAGTCATACGTAGAAGTAGATGTATACGGTGGTTATCGGTTGAGTAGTTAAGAAAAGTAATTATGCAACTGGAGCTTCAAGTCAAATAAATTTTACGCTTACAGGTGATACTGGATGTTCAGCAATTCTCACCGGAGGAGATCACGGTGAAGACGGTCGACAATAACGTGATCGTCGAGGCCAAACACGAAGAGAAGCAAGACGAACACGGCTATATCAGCAGACACTTCGTCAGAAGATACGTCCTGCCCTCGTCTCACGATGTGGAAAATGTTACCTCGAGCCTGTCCTCGGACGGCGTTCTAACTATTACAGCACCGAAAAAGGTACTGCCTGCGTCAAATCCAACAACCCTCTCGGAATTTTGCCTATCCTCTCGGTGATTCGCTCGCGAAAAGTCGCGAATGGATAGACAAGTAACGCTCCTTTGCTTTTTTGCTCGATTCTCTGCCTTCTTATTCCAATCCACGGGCGAAGACTCTCGCCTTGTGCCTCTATTTGTATTCTTTTGTCTCTTTGTATGTCTCTTGAGACAGATTTTGTTTCAGAGAGTGACGTTGCCAAGGACAAATCTCGATCGTACTCTAAAGCGCTCTAAACCACAAAAAGAAACTTTTTTAATTATTGATAAATCGTCACATTTTGTTAAGCACTGCTTATGTTTATGTTTCAACGAATGATTCTTTTTTTGGGATTTTGTGTAATGCTACGGTGGCGCTACTTGACTGTTTTAAATTGAATTAACTAATGACGACATACAACACTTTTGTGTGTTTTTGAAGCGTGAAAATTCATTTCTGGGAGTGATAAAAGATATGTATATTCGCAACGTTAGTAGTAAAAAAAATATATATATGGAAAATTATTAAAATTGTTTTAATACAGCATGTAGCGACACCATTAATCACGCGTACAGCTTTGATTCTGTACGAAATTATATTTTTTTACTTTTGTTACCCAATGTTATTATATGAATATGGTTTTCTTTTGAATCTATTATTTGAGCGGCTGGCTTACCTATTTTTTTTCTCGCGTTCTTCAAAATCCATACTCCAACCACATCAGACACGGTTGTGAACGGATTGTTTTAGCAACGACCCCATAGGGTGCTCTAAAAAAAAATACAAATAACCCACCGGTTAATTTTATTCTGCTAACTAACAATTTTTATGTATTAAAATGTTTCAGTCTTCAACGCCAGCTGGAACCGAGAGAGTTGTCAATATCGTCAAAACTGGAGTACCAGCAGCAAAATCCGAGGACGAACAGAAAAAGAGCGACAATTAAAAAATCTTTTGTTGCATAGATGCAACGAGAAAATAACATGGAAGGAATTATGATTTCATTTTAATATGAGTACCAGAATTGCTCGAATTTTAAACATTAATTATTTATAATTGTGTCCTGTACCTGCTCTGATACGTGACCTTGAGACTCAGCAATAAATTACACAAATTATTGCTCATTCTCAAAAAATAAACGTACCCGCTCTTTTCCAGGGCTCGTATATGTGAACGTCCTCTTTTTATAACAAATAAAATTAATAATAAAAACATTTACAAAACATCTTACAAGTAATCACGTAAATTGCAAAAATGTTAAAGAATTCAAGAATATCAATTGGCAGTTTAAGTCAACTACCTCTATACCCAATCCATCAAAATTAGTAAATAACAATGACAGAGATGCATCAGGGATCCGTGGAGATACAAATTTAAAGAAGCAGTCGACGGCAATTGACGAAATAAAATCTACAGAGATACAGAATAGAAATATTTCGAAAAAAAAATACATACGGTAAGCGGCCACTCCGTGCTGCTCTCGTTGTGTGTCTACATCTTCACCAGGTAGAAAGACACATGCGACGTAACGACGTCCTCGATGCACGAAGGCTTGAAAAGGGACTTCCGGTGTTCTTCGGACCTCCAAACGGAATGAAAGTTTGTTTACGAATGCGCCGAGACGCCGGGCACCGCTCCTTTTATAAGCGGCTGTGACGCAGTCTGGAACATTCGCTGCGTCGCCCTGCAGACCCTTCCCACTACTGCGCATCAGCCTTTTTACATGATTTTCTTGTTTAAAATCCAGAGTAACAAGTCACCAATGGCTTAACCAAATACAGAAAATATTCCTCTTCAATATCATATAACGTTCGATTAACAATTTGATGTTGTTCGTCAGTTATTAACGAAACACTTAGTATTGATCCAAGACGGGAAAACGAGGATTCTGGCACGTTCGCACAACCTTTCCCCCATACCCAAACCTAACTTTACCCGTTCCTCTCGTCCCGGCACGTCCACCGTATCTCCAACCGGCTTTGTCGATACGGAACGTAAACAACTCAGCCAGTATAGTAGTAAGAAAGTGCGCATTTATGCAACAGAATATTTTGGGTGAACGACCGTTGCGTGCAAACATGAAACTGTGCCATGAAAAATGATCTCAAATTATATCATGTGATTATTTAACCTAGAACCTGATTCAAGCCCACTTTTCCACAGTTTTCTAGAACCTTCTTGATATTCATCTTCATAATATCTGGAACAATATTGGAGGTATTATTACATATTCTAAAACATTAAAGCCATGGAAATCAGATGTTTTTGAAGATATCCTTTGAATTTTTATATTTCTTTTCATTTTAGTGTATTTTCTCAATTGGGTGAATACGATGAGTATTTCTAACGCTTCTACCGGCTTCTGGAATATTCTACGTTGCAGCCTGCCGTGCCGGCCGATCGATACAGCGGCAACTCCGCAGTAGATTATTGACCAAATGTGTATATCTGTATTTCGTGGTTCTATTTTGTTACGGCTGTTATATTCTGTTATATAAACTTATAGGAAATGATAAGACTACTTTATCAAATAGCAACAAGAAAATTTAACCAGAAATCTGTATATTTTTTTATCAATATTTTGGAACATCGTACTGACTTAATTAACACAGTATATATCTAATATACGTATCAGTTTCGTAGTAACGAATTCTTTACACCTTGTAATAATTGAAGCATACGTTACAGATGCAAATTTCTGCTCCAAGGGAAATTCATTTATGTAAAAAAGGATCCATTTTGAGATGTGACGTTACGGTTACGAAAATGGTAAAATCTTCAAATATATTTAGGCAGGATATGACGTAAGCTTCATAAATGACATTATTTATAAATTAGGTCACGGATATACTTGCAAAAAGTCATAGGTTCACAATATTCTTATTCGTTACGTGGCTTTTACCTTGTAATTTCTTTTTCCATTGCCCATTAACCACTTGAATCAACAATTCACGTGAGCTACAACCGGCGTGGTACATAATGTTAGAATGTTGTTTTCGAAGATTCCCAACTTCTATCTAATTATCTTTGTATATAAATATATTGCCTATCTATTAAAATACGAAAGAGTACTGATAAAATAAAAATGCTACTTATATCAATTGCTAATTATAATCAAAATAAATTTGACACGAGTGTATCTCCAATCTTGACAATTATCTTTAATATTCTTTTTAGGAACTCTACCTGATTGCTTATCACATCATGTTAATTATTAACATTACGATTTAGCGAATTTAATAATCATATTCAACGATATTATTATTCTGTTTAACATTAAATCCGTCGTGTTAATTCATTTATCAAACGTTTACCACTTGTTTCTTTAGTGCAAAACATTTTCTACATTGGATAATAGGGTGAAATTATGAATAATTTCTTCGTTCTTAATAAAGAAGAGAATGGTGTAAAACAAAGTCAATTTTAAAAAATAAAAATTGAAAAAATCATTTAAATTGAACTGAAAATGTCGACTGTTACCTGCGGAGTGAAATAGAAAATTCGCATAGGGTACGTTTGTACCCCAATGTACGGTTGTAAAGTTAAATTATCTGTCAATGTATAAAATACTGATGCAGGATATCCTTTCTTAAAAATTCCAGTTCTCCGTGTATAGTGCCGCTTCTATACGGATCCGGCCATCTGCGCTACCATTATACTTTTTCTTTTTCGGTCGTCTCGAATCCTTGAGCTCGATAAATGTACTGCGTAGCAGCCACGCCATGCGACCAGATATATATATGTATGTATATATCTATTATATAATTTACTCCGTGGTCCCACAAACTACGAAAAAATGATAAAGTCAAAAACACTGTCATAAATGAACCGCATATCATTGCTTAATCAGTCAATCTGAAGTTATTTATTAGATATACGTTATTAAAGTAATACAAATTATTAACTGTAATGCTTGTAATATATTGTATTAAAACAAAACATAAATTGCTAAGGAGGAGAAAGGTGTTGTTCAAATATAAGGCATATTCGTTCTAGTGTATTTAAGTGCTCCGGAGCATCATAGGTGTGTTCAAAAATGAGACAAAAACGCTGAGAGCATCGTTGTGTCTCGATCAAATGCATTCAGTAAACAGAGAAACAACGATACTCTGAGCGCTCTCGGCTCATTTTCGAACACACCTATAATGCTTGGGAGCACTTAAAAACGATAAAATGAAAAGTCCTATATATTATGGTTGCCAATTTACGCAAATATTTTATTCAAATTGATTATATCCTTGTCTTGTACCTCCTGTTAGTTATAAATCAATGTACTTACAACATAAAGACGCAAAAAAGAATGGCTAACAGCACTGAACCGCATATTTTCAGTCGGTACAGACGGAAGGACGTGGTAACTGTTTGACCTTATTTCGTCTGCTGTTTAAAATATAAAGATGGGGATAAATGTTCCGAAGGGCAAAGCCATTCCAGTGTTACAGGATCCACTATTATAACACGGAGTGAGTAAAAAGAAGTAAAGAAAGGCTATATATTGATCTCATTGTATTATATCAAAAAGGAATATATTGTATAGGTAGAGGATGGAAATAATACCAGAAAAATAAGTCCCTTCAGAAATTCCTTGCTGAATAGTAGCAGCAGGGCATCTGAACTCTTGAAAATAAATCTAATGAAAGGAGAAGAATGGAGCAGCGTAGTTGGGATGTTTCTCAAGGGCAGGTATACATGTAACTACGTATGGTAGTGTTTCATAATCCTATATGCACGTGTACAGAGCTTACACGGTATGAACCTTCGTTTGAATTTTATATTTCTATCCAACCGTCCTACCGGATTCTGAACAAGGTCGACCCACTTGAGAAACCAGAAACGCAGCAGGTCAAAACGCGTGCATTTTTATTTGAATACAATTAACCTTAGTGCCGTTACAAAAACCTTCAAATTCATTGTCAAATTAGCAAAAAATGCAGATCACTCAGAATGACCCACAAATTCAGGAAATATTACAACTATACAATGTATATACATTTACATTGTTACTCATTCGTAATATTGAATCAAGACAGCTATAAAAATTTCCCTGTTAAATCCACAAATACTAATACACAATTGACAAGCGTATTTATTTTATATAATGCCATTCATTGCATTTTTAATATTTATCTTTAATAATTTTAATTCAAAAACCTACGTATAACATTGGATGATTTTCTATGACTACTTTTGGTAGTCTTTCTGTCTTTCTTTTATAAAGGTTTTTAATAATAAGTCCATCTCTCTCGTGCTTCCAGCGAGGATGAGAAAATCTTATTCTTGACTATTCGAATTATTAAATTTCACACTAGTCACCCCAACCATACTAGTTACCCTAATGATCATAGGTCTCCATTCATTTTCCACGTGGACTCACCTAACAGCTAGTGCATCATGCTATGATACACGTACGCTATTCCGAAATACTGGAGGTTTCCAAATAAATTATAGTTATAACCCTCTGCGGTCCTATGCCCAGTGTGACTGGACAACCATTTTATTCTATTAGTTCCAATAAAAATAATTACGGACCGTAAAGAGTTAACCCTCACTAGGTACATATGGATAATACGTAACAGTACAATTTTTAATAGTGTATTGTAATGTAATCTTACCGACGGAGCGAAATTCTATTTACTATTTTGTTATTTTGCCTAGAGATGGCATTCTCGTCAGTATTTTCCGAACTTCTTATCGTAAGTTGCAAACGAAGAAATCAGCCAAGTAATCCTGTGCTCATCCTGTTCATTCGTCAACCGTCAAATAAATCCCCCAAAAAACACTTACGTGTAAAAAACTACGCCAAGTACAGGATTGCTGTGAATTCCTCTAACAAAAAGTATTGATATCATATTATTGAGGCCAAGTACATAAGTCACTACATGGTTTCCTATTATATGATCTAGCACTGGCCCATCATTTTAATTATATTTTCAATATTTCCTATAACGTTTTCGCTACTCTTCTATGTTACTACTGCTTCCCGTGTTTAATTACGATTGAATGGTGATTTAATAATTAATAAAACTTTAGATGATTCCTTATCGAGTACTACTTGGCGGGTCCGTGCATTTCTTGATACAAATTTGGTACAAAACCAGTACCAATTTTCTACAGAAAGCATATTAACAATAACTCGTCAAAAATAAACACGGTAAAAGCTTAATAACAAACATACAGCATTAGAATACTATGACCACGTGCAAAGTAAGTACTTTGGAATTCCTGGCACGGACCCATCAAGTAGTACTCGATAAGGAATCACCTAAAGTTTTATTAATTATTAAATCACCATTAAATCATAATTAAATACGGGAAGCAGCAGTAACATAAAAGAGTAGCGAAAACGTTATAGGAAACATTGAAAATATAATTAAAATGATGGGCCAGTGCTAGATCATAAAATAGGAAAACATGTAGTGACTTATGTACTTGGCCTCAATAATATGATATCAATACTTTATGTTAGAGGAATTCACAGCAATCCTGTACTTGGCGTAGTTTTTTACACGTAAGTGTTTTTTGGGGGATAAAGAGTTGACTCGAGTAAAGAGTCTCTATTAAACACATATAACACTTACCTGCAGAAGGAAATAAAGATTTTGTACTGAGTCTACACTCTCTAATGGTATAGTAGTCAACCTCTTCCTCAACCGCTTGCGTGTAAGCTACAAAATGCGCCATCTAGTCATATTGAATTTAAATATTTATATCATACAGATATGTATTGTTTACTAGTTATGCATTATTAGTTACTATACATATAATTACTGTACCATGCTAATGTACATTATTATAAGTTAATATTATGACCATCAATATAAAAGTTATTACCACTTTAACAGTTACAACCTTAATATTGTAGGTATAACTTTGCGCACGCAGTTACGCGTTTCGGTTACCGTACTACAAGTATCTGTATAGTAATTTAAATCAACGTATTAGTTACAATTATTTTACAACGCATTCCTACTAGTTATAATAATAATTGTAGATATTTGGCTCGTTAAAACCGTTATATTTGTACCTTAAGGAAAATAAATAGTCTTTAGAACTATACAAATTGGTGTTCAAATATTATGTTAGCGCATAAAAGCGATATGGGGTGAAAATAATAATAATTTATAATTAACACTATGCCGTCCACATGTCTGATCAACATTTTTTCGGTTCGCGCCGAAAGAACTGATTAACAACATGTCGCTCGGCGCCGAATGTGTTGCGAGGACCTTGAGAGATAAAAATCGTCAAGTTTTACAAATATCATCGGCAAATTATGAAGATATACATATGTAGATAACTACAAGATGTTTTGTGTTAAAGTATTTATTTAATTATGTTTTGCTATGTACTTTATATTTATTTTTTAGATGATACGAAGCGAAGCAATCTCCAAGATGTAGTGCAATTCCACAAGACTTGCAGGCGACTTGACCTCGAACGTTATCTCGCAGTGGTAGCGCGTCAGCCTCCTCATCCCACTGAGAAGCTTCGCGAAATCCCCATCCCCCAGCCTCATGCAGATTCGTGCAGCGGCGAGTTCAAAGTTATTCCAGAAAAGTCTATGTATCGGTTGTCCGAATGCGCAATACCGAACGTCATCTCGCAGAGTCGTGCGTCGAGAATGCAGTTCCTCATCCCCCCGAGGTGTCAAATTACTCGTAAGCGCGCGCGACTTAACTTCGTCATCGTCGTCGTCGGAGGAGGGCTAAGGTTCGTCCGAATACTCCGGAAGATGCATGGACCTTGACATCGATTCCAGGAATTTCTGTAGACGATTCGATTCCTAGAAATTTGCGAAACCTCCCACAACCCCATTTTAGTCCTTAAGAGTTTCCTATAGAAGGAGGAGCAGAACGTACCTTCAACAGTTTGCTGCGACAATTCGGCCGATGCCGAATAAGAGGAAACAACGCGAGCTCAGAGTTCGATTACAGTTACTATTAAGGGATATCGGGGAAGTGAAACAGTTGATCGAAGCTAATAAATTTGAAGAAACTCCATAATAATTGAACGGAATGGACATCCCAAATATGAACAAAGTGGGTCGTTTGGAAGCATAACTTCCAACGAAAGAGTTGTCAGAACTTGAGGTTCAAAAGGAATACAAGATCAGTTGTATTCGGAAGATCCAAATAAAATACGGAATGAGATTAATCGTCGACATCGAAAACAGCTTCTCAACATTTCTACCAGCGAGGATGTCTAAAGTCTTGAAAGACGATAACAATTTATTCCAAAACATGGTGCGTGCTGCCGACGAAGATCGACTCCTCATGCGCTATCTCGTTGGGCAGTATAATCAGTTCGAATTTCAATGTTTGTAACCGTGCTTTTAATACTACTATGCATGCGTGTTAAATAAATATACAACTTGTTGTTGTATCTTATGTCTTTCAAGACTTTAGACATCCTCGCTGGTAGAAATGTTGAGAAGCTGAATGGTATTATATACTAATAAGAACTTAAGGTATATATACATATATATACGAGACAATTATTTTATAATACGTCTTCAAGATTGCGAGATGACATGTTGCCATTTCTCGTTTCTGTCACAGAAACGGATCTTGAGTGTTGTTCCAATTTTGCAGGTTCCCTGAATAGTACTTGATACGTATATGTACCAAGTAATGCTCCCAAAATAGGACCAACCCAGTATATCTATAAATATAATAAAAATATTAGATAAAAAATTGATATTGATCAAAAGCATTAAAATTATTTAAATCATTAGGGGGTTGGGAATTTTGTATTACAGTGCTCCCTCACTAATATTTTTCTGAGAATATTTTCAAATCTGTTTTCAGTGACAATTTTCTTGATTATTATAATTTCCACATATGTATGTACTGTTTTGCTCTATTAATTAAACTCAACAATTCTGATAATTTTCCATTTCATAAAATTTGCCATTTTTCACATTAATCTATGCTATGGCAAGCTAATCGAACTGACCCTTAAGATAGTTATATCGTCAAGGGCGTATAATTTGAGTAGTTAAGTTTTCCGTGAATAGTGCAATAATAATTTTTCATCGTAATCAGAAAATCAGCTACCGGCTAATTAAATCAGATAATCGAATAAAAATTATTGGTATCAATACCATGTAATGAAGTTAACGCAAACTCATCGATAAGTACTTGTAATTTTCTTGCGATGAGAGTGATCTCATTTTTCATAATAATCAATCCAATAGTCATACTTGAACTTCGTCGTGACTAATGCAGCGTTATTCAAGTTCAATACTTCACTATATATTCTCAGTAAAGAAAATCTCTAGTAATATTCACTCATGTCAATCGTAACAATTTTTTTAGACGTACCCATTGATTGGTCCACTCATTATTCCAAAATGCTGGAGCAAACGTTCTTGCAGGATTCATACTACAGCCGGTATATGGAGCCTAGAAAAGTTTTATGCATTTTTAAAAACGACATATCCACTATCGAGAGTCTTTTTCACAGAATATCCAATAATTTGAAAAGCACTCTTATACTTCAGGTAATATATATATTCTATAATCTATTAAATTATATTATTTATTATCATATTCAATGTCCCTTATCTACCTCATGCACTTCTAGAAAGGTTTAACTGGTCAATTCCATTCCAAATCGATTGAGTATCGATTCCCCGTACCAAATAATTTTAACAATATCGAACAATAACAAATCAATGACAGATACTCACAGCCGCAAAAGATATTCCAGCTACAGAAAATCCAAATCTAAGCGCAGTCGAGTCTGTAGTATGAGCGCATCTTGGGTCCCAGGTAGCACAGGCTGTACATAAAATAATTGCAGTGCATAAGACTTCGATTAGAATACCTTGCATCACACTAATTCCTGGATGTACCGCTGTAACGCAGAAACTTGTTGTAGAATTTAAACCGTCATTCAAAAGCTCATCAGGCGTTACCATCTGTTAGAATAAATTTTAAGTGCTTTAATGAATTTTATATATTTATTAATGATAATTATTAGAAATGTTAATAATAATAATACCTTAAGCGTTCCGTAGCCTAATGTAGCGCCTATAAATTGGCCTATAATATATATTATACCAGTTGGTACTGTTTTTACTCCAACTATCACGGCACCAATTGTTACAGCTGGATTTAAATGAGCCCCGCTTACATGCCCAAGCATCTAAACATAAATATATGATGAGCAATTTAGATTGGATTTTTTAGTTGTATATAAATTCTCTACTCGCCATAATTATAAGATTGACTGTTAGACCAAAAGTTAAAGCGGTTTGCAATGGCTTAGGTGGTTCCAGTGCCAATGTTCCAACGCTGCCCATACATCCTAGAAAAATTAGGACTGCGGTGCCAACAACTTCTGCTAGAAACATTGTCAGTGTACCTTTCTGCATGGTCCATAGCGCATCTGCAACAGTTGTAATAATAAGTTGAAATTTAAAGAAAATATTTTAACTACTTATAAATAAACACCCTCGTCTACGTGAGTCTGGGAGGCGCAACTAGAGATCTTTGAATTTATTCCATGTAATTAAAATATTAAGGGCTCGACTGGGAATTATTGTATTTAGAAACTATTTTAGGAGTAGTATATATGAATAATATATCCACATTTGAAAATGCTCTGGACCTCTGTGATCCAACGTAGACAGCGCCGGGTTAATGACTATTAATGTTTCTCGTATCTATAAATAGTCAGTATACGAATTTTAATAAAATTATACGTTTAATATTTTTATATACTAATTTTTAATTATATGCTATATGTATCGCGTTTATAAAACATTAAGAATTAAGAGACTAAGAATTCATTAGAAGTCTATAATAGTTTTATAACAGAGAAACTGTATTGTAATATTTATATATATTTTGTATATATTATAACTGTAGTATATTTTTTAATTTTACCTTTATGTATAGACGTCATTGTTGAAAATTAGTTGATCAGTTTTTGCCAGGAGGAGGTCAGCCAGTATGCAGAAGTCTATGTTGGAAATGTTTCCTATGTACTGTTTGGATCGCTTCCTGCAACAATCTTGAAAGTCGCCATGCGTCTCCTCGATATCTTTGTCAACAAAAAAAAGCGTTCGCGATTATCAGTAAAAAAATAATATCTGATTGATTTTCTCCAGAGTTCTTACGTTTAATTAAATCAGCACTATTCACTAAGTTTATCTATGCTCTATTCCATCAGATTACTAGCATTAGTCATTCATAATTTTTGTATTTTCCATTGCAACTGGCGCATACGCTGTTTTAGGCAAATCCTTGGAATGCATTTATAACAAAATTTGAATTTTCAACAGATCATAGTACATAAGATATCAAATAATTTTTTCTATGAAATCATATCTCGTATTGATTATTTTATTAAATAGTGTAATGTTCCAAGTGGCTTTTGATATTTTAAATTTAACAGCAGTTTATTTATTGTATACACCGTGCCATTTTGGTATTTCTCCTAAAGGATCTCGTCGATGGAATGCTTGAGGAATTTTCACAAATGCAAAAAGATTCGTTATTGTCGTTCTAAACCACTCGACTTCTTCAATTAATAAGTATTTTTCTTTAGATAATGATATATGATCAGATATTGTTCATATACATATGTTACCCTGACACTTTACACCTTATACAATGTATATTAACCTTATATGAGTGACGTCGTAGAAGAGATATTTAAGCTTTAAAACTTAAAAAAAAACCATGTTAAGTTAAGAATTGTCGGCTGGATATTAATAACTAATTCTTTTTTGTAGGCGTTGAAAACTTTACAGCCAGGTTAAATAAAAATCTGTTCACTTAGATTGCAACGATTCGACCCTTGGTTTGAGGTTCTCTTCAGGCATGTTTAGTTAAAAATAATTTTAACAAGAAATCTATGAAATGAGAAAAAATGCAAAACTAGATACAAACTACACATTTAAATAGAACATAATAGTTTACGCATTCTATTGTATACTCACAAATGATAATATTCCAGGTGACCTATAGGGGAGATAAAGCTAAATCAGGGAGCTGTGCAATATTCGGTACGGGAGAAGCATAATTAATTTAAGAATTATATGTTTGCTGTGTGAAGATTTCGTCTATAGTCAAGGACTAGTAAGATACACATGTTGCTTTGGGACAGACACAGTGAAATTACAGACGTTTTAAATACACACATACAAAGGGTATTGAAATCAGAAATATAAACCTAATCGAGAAATTGTAAAGTTGTAATATCTCAAATTTTGTTTATAATCATTTTTTAAGAAAATTTTGATAAACAGCACTCAAGTTTTCTACGTCACTTCAAAATCTCACCGTATTATCAGTACTAGACATTTTTATCATATCAAGGATGCACCTTCTGTGATAGTCTTTTTCATTGTTTAATATTCTTATACAATCAAAATTGAAATTGTGACCTATATCCATTCTATGTAAAGCTAACGCCGTGTTACGTATAGCATTGGTTATCATTTCTGAAACAGTATACCATAGCCAGCAGTCAGTAGCCTCACTGGAATTGCAGACTCAACACGTTACCCAGTGCATTGTCCGTGTCACCTGCCAAGTTGTTTAGTTGACTTGATTCCTAAGGTCCTAGAAATACCTAAGAGCATCAGCGAAAGTTGACTATATAAGTAGTCAAAGTCATGGTAATAGCGCTCAGAAAATCGATTAGTTTCACGCGCAAAAGATTGGACTGTACATTGTCACTCGTGACTTTCACCGTTAGAATATTAGATCCAGTTTGATATTCGTCATGAGCCCTATGTACGGATTCGTTATTAACTTATTACGTACACACATAGTCAGATTTTGTAACTCAATATTAAAATCTCTATACCGAATTTCTCATTTGCTCAACCAAGCAAACACTGTAAACACTAATCATTTATTGAAGCTTACTCATTTATTTCTAACAATGTATCGCAAATCCGAATTTTCTCGTGGATTAAACTTTTATTACTCATCCGTAAGCATTTCAGGGAATATCACGCTGGAATAGCAAGGGGTGTGCAACACCTTAAATGAGCAGCGAATATTACCTCTGGTCGTTACTTTTTTTTGGTTACTTTTAAATTTCCATTATCGAATTTAAAGGCCTCATCATCATGCTTATGTTCGGTGATACATTTTTTAAATAATCTACCCGTATGGCCTAAGTAACATTTTTCGCATTTCTTGCATGGTCTTTGATATATGACATTAGATCTGCCGAACAAGCTAATTTTATCTTTAGTGATACCAACATATTGCTTTCAGACTGTTTGCATTCCTATGTATGATCTTTATATTATACTCTTTGAAGAGTTTGGATAAACGTTGTAATAATCCTTCCGCATATGGTAAGTAAATGCAACGTATGAAATGATTACCAGTTTCCACTACACCATTGTCATCGGAAGCTCCTGTACCGAATGTACTACAGCTCCCGGTTGTAGCTTTATCTGCGCTCACGTGGAACATTATCATTTGTGAGTATATAATAGACTGTGGAAAATATTATGATTTCTTTTTAACATCATTTTTAAATAAACTCGCCTGAAGAGGACGCCAAACCATGGGTCGAAACGTTGCAATCTGAGTGAACAGATTTATATTTAACATAGCTGCAAAGTGGTCTACAATAACAATGAATTTTAAAAAATAGACAATTTGTAAGTTAACCTATACCTTACAGAAATTAAATCTATGCATCCATGAGGCCTTATTTTATAACAATAAATATACCCCCTGTTACACTTATCGTCTGAGGCTATGTAAAATTGTTAATACAAATTCATTCGTTAACTAGTTGTACCCAATAGAGCAGAGCGTCATTTATTTCAATATTAGTTTTTTTTAACAATTTTACTTCTTTTAATAGTTTTGCTTTACTTTTTTCAAGTTTTTTACATACTTTCACCTCCCCCCTCTTGCATGTCCCCCTGCCGCTGCACCGTCCACTCGGACCCTCATGGAAATACATTGCGCATTGCGCATTGCGATCTTCAACGATGTACGAAAACAGGCGTATATAGAGGGGGTGGGCCCCCTCGTTTTTTTGAAATCAGTGACACCCTACTATACTATTTTTATGTAATTTACTTTATATATAATCATCACTCAATTTTGTATAATGCAAAAAGGGTTAAATAAATAAAATATAAAAGAAATAATTGAAGAAGTTGCAAGAATATGCAAATCCACGTACACAATAATAATAATACTCCAATGAAACGATAAACATGAAATACGAGCAATGTCCAATGCGCATGCGCAGATCGAAAATGCTTATGGAACTCCTATAACCTATAACCATTTAATTTCCAGTTAAGATTCCGCTGCCAAACAACAATGGTGAACATAGAATCATGCAAAAGGGTTTTAAGCACAAAAGAGAAAGTAGAACCAGAGCAACATAAGAAGGGTCACATAGAGTATGCCTTGAAATTTAATCGCAGGCTGTTGAAACTAATCGAAATATGGCCGCTGTCGTCACGTATATCAACACCTACAAACATCTATTTTATATAAAAACTATTATATGACAGCAAATTGTTGGATCTTCCTGCCGTGTTTAATGATCTTAACCAGTCTGCACACTTACCTCGTACAAACGGATCGCAACGTGAAGTTAAACATGATCGGACCTTTGAGTTTGGCTTATTTAAGAAAGCTTTTTCAATAAATTAACCCTGTGATCCCCATCAATGTATTTTGCATCTTTGAAGTCGTGAGGTCGTATTAAGGCAGCGTACGTGGGATTGGGATTTAAAGGAAGATTTGTAAAGAAAAGTGTGATGGTAAAGAAAATAAAAGCCGTACAGAGCATAAATGATGCGAAGAAGAAAGCTGCAGCCGTCGAGGCAAGAGAAGTCGAAATTGAAGAACCTGAGAAAAATCACTTGTATGTTCGACGACGTATTGTCGAGGTGTCGGAGCTTGGTGGAAATGTTTATTTATCTATTTCTTTTTAATAGTACGCGAATCGTTTGAAAATTTTAAATTTTACACAAACTGTCGTACATTAATTTGAAAAGCTCGTTACGGCGTACAGTATTGCCATATCGTTCAGATCTGTTTACGCGAGAAGAATATATGACGGTCTTTACAATTCTTTATCTCCAAAACTAGATGGTCGGTGGCTTCCAAAATTGCTAGGTGTGCCGTTAAATATATTTCTTTCTTTCAAATTTACTAACAAGACGGTAAGAAAAATTTATTTACTTTGATCGAAAATGTAATTCGACTTTCGCGTGACATAGTTCTTTTTTCCATGATTTTCTCGGGTTACAGGTGATTAATAATTTTGAAACTTAACACATGTATTCAAGAAGCATCGCATAATAAATAGCTAAAGTTTCAACAATTTCCTAAGAAAATAGGTACTCCGCGATAACTACCTTAATTTCTGAATGAATTATAAAAATCTTTGATAAACCAGCTGCATTATACGATTGGTGTTGAATATCAATGATAAATTTGGGCCAGTTCCTTTTAGTTCCTTACTAGATTTAAGGCCGATTCGCACATTTCAATGCCGTATTCGTACGGTGCATGTCCGTCCACTGACGTAAAAAATTATTTCATAGTTCTAAGTAAGACTGTTCTCATATTTCAGTGTCCGTTCCAGTGTTTTACCGTCCGTGTCAGTATCCATGCCCGGACAGTGATCTGCGACGATATTTTCACTGAACGGACGGTACCACGGTAGGGGGCGGCCGTAGCCCAGTTGATAGGGTAGCGGATTCACGACCGAAAGGTTGGAGGTTCGTGCCCAGCTTCCAGCGGCATTCACCAATGGGTTTTCACATGAAAACTTAAGTGAGTATTTATACGGATTTCGCCCAACACTGTTCGGATTCGGTGTATAAACTTTGTAGGTCCCTCACGCAGAGTTGAATAAGGCCCGTGTCGCAAGGTACATCGCCATCTATTGTCGAACTTCCAACCTTGATTATTAGGACCAGTTACTGGCACATGTCCCCCATTGGGGATACAGCCACAAGGAGCCACAAGGAAAGGAAGGAAGGAAGGAAGGACGGTACCACGGTCTTACACTATACAGGTCTTGAAACTTCCTCGAATTTCAGTGGTAGGGGTATGGCCGGTTACTGAGGTTGAATTTAGTTTCAAACAGCGTCGCTGTGATCGAGTTACCCCTAGAGTCCGTCTAGTAAGAGTCCGGCCAACACCCGGAAGGAACGCCATATTAAGGGCTTGTTTGGCGCCACTATGACATTGCGCAAGACTCGGTCGAGTCTCGCGCCAAGTACAGGCAACCCGCCGTACAGGGCTTAACACTACCCACAGTACACAATGCGAATCTCTCCCATATACGTATTCACACACACCATTCTATTCCGGAAAGAGCCCATAATATGGCGGAGCCAATCACTAACAAGCCCCACCGTTGGCCGGACTCTTACTAGAGGGACTCTCTAGTTACCCCTTATCTATCTCACTCTACAATCGGCTGTGGGAGAGAGAAATAGGTATGGATCACTTGATCGCAACGCCTTTTGTGGTCATGAGGCGAAATGAAAGATGCTTCTTTAAGAAGACTACCAAGACCGTGAATAGGACAGAGATGGAGTGGTCCTCCTGGCCCCCCGCGTCCCTCGTCCATACGATTACCCGATCCCAGCGACTCTATGCGGCTATTCGGAACTGCTTCACTAAGCGACCCACCCCCACCACCAGAGTTTCAAGCTTGTATGTAAGACTGTGGACGGTACTGAACGGTGGCGACACTGTAGCGTCTGAACGGGTTGTAACGTGGCGTCATGAGCCCGGCTTGGGCACGCCGCGTTACGTTAAGGGTAAACTCAAGGGTCTGCGTCGAAGGGTCGCGCGATGGGATCGGGAGGAAGTCTGGCCACCGGTGGCGGCAAGGCGGATCGGATGGCGAGACAAGAGGACGAATATCCTACGACGATGAGGCCGCCGATCATCCGCTATCCGCCAGCTAGAAACCTGATCGTCCCGGCGCGTGACCTGGAAGGGAAGGTACCGCGGGAGAGGGGTATTTTTGTTTTGGACCACCCGCTAGGCAAACGCGGATAAGGGGCAAGGTATTCCCGAAAGGCGGGAATTCCTTTGGCTAAATTCGTCGAACCGTTAACAATAGGATAGGCAATCTTCGGATTTGCTGAATTCAATCTCTTTCCGGCAACGGATGATTACGCACGTGTGCAAATTTTCGAGAGCGATACTGTGTTTTTTCTGGTTTTTTCGTTGACGACTCGGCGTACTTAAATTTTGGTTAACTCTGGTGAATGAAACGGCTTGTTTTTTTTGGACTCGATTTTGGACTTTTTACGGGCACAAGGGACCGGGCGACTATGAGGTGTGTGAGGTGGTTGGGTGTAAGGAACGGAAGCGAGACCAACCAGTGGCACCAGCCGAAAAGGAACCCCTCACCCCGAATCGGCCCACAATTGGTTTTTTTTTTTAATTATAAGCCGCTTCTCTGGTGAGTGAACTGGACCACAGAGAGTGGCTCTTGTTATTGCACGTTTTGCCCTCGAAGAAGAGCCGGGATAGTCATCCTCACGGAGTCCGAGCGGAGATCGGTGGTCCAGGCGTTCAGTACGCTGCCCTGCGAAGATCTCCGTCAGGGAAGAGATTCGTCCACCGTGCTTAGTAGGGCCGCGAACCGCGTCGCGAGGGATTAGCGAACCGTTGGGCAGAATAGGGACGGTGTGTAAGGCCGGGTTGATAAAAAAAAGTTCGTTATCTATTTTTCAAACTTATAACGCAGACCATCTGCGTGCACGCTTAAGGGCTCACATACCCACATAAAAATCTGTAAAAAAATCAATTTTTTGAAAATGTCAGGGGTATGTGAGCCCTTAAGCAAGCAACGAAAAGCGTATTCTTGTCAATAAAAGTTATAAAGTGTCTTGGTTTGTTTATTTGCCGCGTGTAAAAAACGGAATTAAAATATAACATACAGCGACTCTTTTCCATTTAGGTGTAAACAATATTTCAACTGCGATAAAAATTATACGTAAAGAAATCGTGCAATTCTGATCTCTCAAAACATTAAGGCCCTTACCATTACGCATACTTGATTTTTTAATTGACTTTAAAATTAACCAAATCCATTGACAGACCACTATTCGATCACAAGTAAAAGAGGATTAATATTATTACTAATTATTTTAAATATTCGTCTAAGGCATTTAACAAAGCCAATAAGAATACAAATGTTACATGACAGATATATGTAATTATCTAATGCTGAATTTATAGTATAGACAAGGTATGATGGAGGCATCAAATACATTAATTCTATGAACTAACAAATATTCAATTTAATCGATTGGACAAACGCATCATTCCATATTCAGTGAACAAAGAAATGTATTATGCAAGTCGACACCCCTTTATAGATCACGGAATAGACAATCATAAAATATGAACAATGTCCAATGCGCATGGCCAGGTCGGAATTGCTCATCCAACTCCCATAAGCTATGAGCCTTTGATCTCCAGTTAAGATTCAGCTGCGAAACAACAATGGTGGAAATAGAATTGCGCAAAAGGATTTTAAGCACAGAAAATAAAGTACAGAGGGAACAAAATAAGAATTTCAAGAACGACACAGAGTATGCCTTAAAATTGAATCGATGGCTGTTGAACCCAATTTCATTATGGCCACTATCGTCACATGTATCAGCACTCAAGAAAATCCAATTTAAATTTATACGAACAAGCTGCTTCATCTTCCTGGCATTTGTAATAATCCCAGCCTGTCTGCATACGATCCTCGTACAGAAGGATCCCAAAGTGAAGTTAAAAATGATCGGACCTCTCGGTTTCTGCGTAATGGTTATCGTGAAATATTTCGTCTTCGTCGTTCGTGCTAAAAATATAAAAATATGCGTCGATCATGTTGTCGCAGACTGGCGCAACGTTAATACGACTGAGGATCGTGAGATCATGATTGACAGTGCAAAGATTGCTCGGATATTCACTGTTGGTGCTGCACTCCTCATGTACGGTGGTGGTTGTTCTTATACCATGCTTCTGCCACTGACAGCATCCAAATCTGTATCGAGTTCTAACGTTACGATAAGGGTGCTCCCGTACCCCTGTTATTTCTTTTTCTTCGATCCCCAGGTCAGTCCTACATACGAAATCGTATTTAGTGCTCAGATCTTGTGCAACATTGTCAGATATTCCACGACATCCGGAGTCTGCAGCTTGGCTGTCGTATTTGCAATGCATGTTTATGGTCAGTGTCAAGTTTTGATGAGACTTTTGGAAGACTTCGTAAACGGCGACAGAGAGAAATCATCAACTTTACACCAGAGACTGGCCAATGTTGTTGTGCGTCACTTGCGGATTCTTAGGTGAGAATTTTCATATTGCAAAGAGATCAAAGTCTTGTTTATGGTAATATATTGTTGGATGAAAGTTTGAGAGATAATGGTTAAATGCTTTAAAAAAAACAAGCACTGCCACCGAGTTATGTTTCTTACAATCAGATATTATCGCTAATGTTTTGTAAGTGCACTTTTCAACAATACATACATATATTACCATAAACTAGACTTTGATCGCTCTGCAATGTATAATTAAATGTAATCAGTATTGTAATTACAGTAAATGACCATTTCTCGATGAAGACTTCGTAAACGGCGACAGAGAGAAATCATCAACTTTACACCAGAGACTGGCCAATGTTGTTGTGCGTCACTTGCGGATTCTTAGGTGAGAATTTTCACAGTAATAGCAACTATATATGAGTCATTCCACGTCAGATTTAAAACTAAATTTTTAATTTTCCTGAAAATTGTTTCCCTTGTTCTTGAGGGGGAAGAAACAACACGTACTTTTTTATTTCAATATAATATGAAGAATATTCGAAATATGGATTTTTTAATTTATCGACTCCAAAAAACCGGCTCTTCTTTAAATGCGAAAATGTCCAAGCACGCTCGAATCCGTGCTTCGGCCGCGCGGTCACATATTATGAATTTTATTTCAAACAATATTCAACGGTCCACTTTCAAATTTTTAGACAATATTCTCTGTACTATAATAAAAAAATACAGGAAACATTATTCAATTTGAAGATGCCCTTTTTGAAATAATACAAATTGTTTAAGAAATTGTTGCGTAACAATTATTAAACGACCGAATTTTCGACCATTAAAACAGGGACTTTAAAGTGAACTCTATTGGACATTTTGCCTTGCAGTGCTTTGCTTCTAGTCGAAAAGTGGACGATGCACGATACATATAAAGAACAATCGGTTCTTTGGAGTCGATAAATTAAAAAATCCATATTTCGAATATTCTTCATATTATATTGAAATAAAAAAGTACGTGTTATTTTTGTCCCCCTCAAGAACAAGGGAAACAATTTTCAGGAAAATTAAAAGTTTGGTTTTAAATCTGACATGGAATGACCCGTATGTATAATTAGTGCAGCTTCTTTTCAGTGAAGGTTTTCGGATTTCATTTGCAGGCTGATATCTACAATGGAAAATATTTTTAATGAGATTTTTCTTATAGAGGTGGTTGGTTGTACATTCATTTTGTGCTTTCTTGGATACTATTGCATGACGGTAGGGCAATCGCAGGATCTACATGCTACAATGAAACTCAATAAATTTTGCTTGCATATTTTGTATCACAGGATCTGACAGAGAGCGAAACAGTTGGCCTAATTGCGTATTTTCTTTTATTAATATCACTGACGTTCAATGTCTTCGCGTTTTGTTACATCGGAGAGCTTATAACGAATCAGGTATATAGAGATCTCTCCATTAGGTAACATTAATCAGTGAATAACATACAAAAATATATGTTTTATGCGACAGTGCATGCAAATCGGACAGGCGGCTTATATGACAGAGTGGTACAGATTAGAAGGGAAAAACGCCAGTAATTTAATTGCACTAATTATCATCTCAAATCGTCCAGTATTTCTGACAGCTGGAAGAATGATAAACTTGTCTTACAACAGTTTTTGTCAAGTAAGCATGAAAAACAATGTTATTACATAGCGATTTTCCATTATATAATGTTAATTTATTCTAGTTGCTTCATGATTACGTTTCAATCAAAAATTTAAATAACAGCATTTGCAATTTGTTGTTCCAGGTGATAAAATCATCTTTAGCGTACCTGAATATTCTTCGTCAAGTAACGATGTAAGATATTGCGAATTTTCAAAGGAAAAGCATATAGTTCATGTTTCTCAGTCTACACTAGTTAAATAAATAATCCAATACGGACACGTGAAATATAGTGTTATTTTTATTTTAAAAGGGAAAACAACAATTCGTGTAGTACAGGAGATCAATAATACCTAAATATTTGTCTGGTAAAATATTGTCAACTCTGCAATATGTTTCTTTCCCACAACGCAGCAATTTGAATGCAAATTACATAAGCCTTATAAAGGAGACCAAGATCAAACGGGTAAGGATTCTCTACCTCTGCGAATTCAAGTTGCGCTTCGTCGTCAGTCAGCAATCGATAACGGAGCCGTAAAGATGCGACGTATTGCTTCTTATTAAAAGCAATAACGATATAGCCCGTAAATTCATTGCCATCAGAATTCGAAAAATAATATCTCTGCTGCTTTTTATTTATTTTTCGAGTGATCCCGTCTATCGTACGCTCGAGTTACGTTGATTTGACTAGTCATCTATTGTGGATCCAATTTCGACGTAACTTCGGAGTATGACTGTACTTTTCTCAGACTTACGACAGTTTGGCATTGGTCTACATTTATTTTAAAATTGGAGGATTGGGATCGAAGGATTAACAATTGAATAAATTTATTCTATAACCCCAAATAGCTTGAAATATATTTATTCAGATTTATGGCAAGCGCGAAGGAATCGTTTAATGAAATATATCTCGTGGAGTTTTTGGATGGCATATTAAGAATATGCGCCTTCTTGGATATCACTGTTCAATGGTACAATAGTACTTTGCGATACAAGTGCGTAAAAATTATGAATAGGCTGTGAAGTGAGTCCCAGTGATCTCTGAGGGCAGAGAATTCCAAAATTGGATTCCACTTATTATAAAGGATTTCTGAAAAAAGACAGTGCGGGCTGTAGGAGGACGAAGCGTGTCCATACGAGATGTATCACGTCGTCTTGCTACATTGGTCAGTGAATAAACTCGGTGAACCTAAGCGTAAATCCTTATAAAAGCGGCGAAGAAGAGCCGATGAAAAGACGACGTCGATTTCGCGACTTTAGCTAATAGAGATTTCGCCAGTGTTGAGAGATGTGAAGATGCCGCGGTAGCCACAGTAAGAATCGCACACAGTTATTCAGTGATACATGAAGCTTTTTCTCAAGTCCATCGAATAGGTTCGTCAGCGCAGCAGAACGGTAGTCGAAAATTGGAAAGACTAGGGCGACAACAAGATGACGTTTAAACGCAAGCTCTAAATCGTTAGCAGTCATACGAATGCGATGCAATGCCCCCGCAGCACTCCTACTAACCCGAGAGACATGTTCAGACCATGACAATGTACAGTCCAGAGTGACGCCGAGGTAACGAAAAGTAGATACGAATGCAATCGGCTATCCATCTAACAAGAAGCTAGGATGTTCCGAGAGATTAATAGCGTTAACGTATCTAGAACTACCGGTTACCATAGCCTTGGTTTTACCAACGTTCAGTCGCAGGTTAATTTCACGACACCAGCTCGAAATTCTAGCAATATCGTCCTTAAGAAGTAGCATCGCCCTCCGTTAGTTTCTCTGGTCCTTCGGTAGATGACCTGATCATCGGCATACAGCAAATACTTCAGCACTAAGGAATTCACGGACTCCCTCATTTTTGAGCGAGGATGACGAGGCGACGATTCGCGCACAAAGTTCTTCACGCAAGTAAAGGGCGACACCTCCTCCATGACGTCCCCTACCGTCGACACGAAGCAAGGAATACGATGGCAGCGCTACTTGCCGATCTGCAACGTGTTCATTAAGCCAAGTCTCCACAACGGCAATGATGTGATACGGATTGAGACGAAAGAAATCTTGAAAATCGTCGATGTGCGCTGGCAAAGACTGGGCGTTAAGACAGCAAGTATTAAGTACAGAAGAAGCTGCTCGTACAGGCGAACCAATAGTAGTCGTGATTCTCCAAAAGAGTCAGAAAAACAGTTGTTCTAGGTTCGTTGATGGCAATACCTTGATGAGCCTAGTCTCCGGTTTGCCTCTGACAAAGATTGCTGTATCTGCAATCCAGACAGATCTATGCTGGAGAGACGGGAATCACCTTGATATACGATCCCTCAACTGTTGTAGCTGCACTGGCTGACATCGGTTTACATATCGGCTAGAGACGTACCAATATCTGATACCCTGAGAGCAGGGCAGGGCAGGGCTTCTTAGCAACTAAGATCTGGTCGCACCTCTTTGCGGACCCAAGTTCGAGAAGAATGACCCACCCACCAGCATTAGAACTACTAGTACTACTAGTGTCACCATTTGAAGTTTTTTTCTTTATTTTCTTAGCTCCTATGCGCTCCACCTTTACCACGTCCGTCGGTGCCAATTCAATTTCTAAGGCGCGCGCCAGTTTTCGCACCAGCCCCTTTATGTCTTCTTTGCCACTTAGACTTTCTGGCACACCCGATACGATAAGTTGATTTGCCATCTCGCGATATGCGGCACGAAGCAGCACCGCTTGATCAGCACGGGACAATGCGCTAGAGGGTCCAGCAGCAAGCTTGTCCTCAACGTCCTTCAGACGACCCTTATGGTCAGCTGTTTCCTTCGCCAGTCGATCGACGTCTTCCTTCAGTGCTGTTACCGATCCCTTGATTTCGTATAGTTCCTTCTGAAAAGTAGTATTTTCCGCTGCTAACTTGTCAAACTTAGTGTATAGTTCTTCGAAATCAGCGACCAGTGAGTCAACTTTTGTAACCGTGAGATAGGCGGTCATTAATGGACTGGAGAATCACAAGATGATCGACATTCTGCTTGCTATTTTGGCATGCAGGACAGTAATCTCTCCCAGCTGTAGCAGCATCCTTTCAGGTATCCAGCGACATCTTAGTCTTGATGCATGTAGCATGAAAGTTGTGAGCGCACTTGGAACCAGTGATAACACTGTCACCAGTTTTTTCTATTAGAGCAAAGCTGAGACTACACACAACGGCTTAGGCATGACAATCAGCTGTCAGATACGACTGCGGCGTTCAAGGTAAATAAACAGCTGAAGAACAACGCGTGCCACAAGATCTAACACTATAAGCGAAGTCGGCCACCTAAAAATTCGGTTTAGGCAAAAACACGATTAAATACTACTTATGAAAGAGTATTACAGTTGAAGATTATTAATCGCATAAAACAGATGCACTCACAGAATTATTTTAAATTCACTAAATGGCTCTAAAACTCGGCACTCGGTAAATACAGACAATATTTTAATGACAAGCATATCAGTCAGATATCCTGCGCACCGTGGCGGGAGGGGGGTGGGAGAGAGGGAGAGAACATTGCTCAGTAAGTACGAGAAGGCAATATAGTATATAAAAAAGTCAATAAATATCTAATTATTTACCTGAAAAATATTATCACCGCCGCAACATGTTTCTTTCGATCAATCAAGAGACTCGGTCGAGTCTCGCGCCAAGTACAGGCAACCGGCTGTACAGGGCACAGCTCGCAGAGACTCTTTACTTGAGTCAACTCTTATACCTGTGTTTGGAACGAAATATCTTATTAACCGCTATACATGAGAAAAATTTATTGATACATTCACTATAGGAATTGAGGGTTCTGAATTGATTGCCATCACGTTCAATACGATTTGTGTACGAGATCAGGGCATATTGAAATGGCGAGCGAGATGATTTTATTTCAGTTCTGTCGTTGTCGTCGTCTTCGCACGTCCATCGCATTTTTTAGCATTTGAAGTTTGCAACGAGCGACGCTTTTGCACTTCGCTCAAACAATAGTATCCTCTCTGTTGTTCGCACGGCCTGAGGTACGTAAATAATCCAGCACACTCTCCTCTCTTACGTTTACCACACGGCTTCAACAAGCTGGACACCATTACCGACGCTTATATGCACTGAAGATTTTTCTGCACTGCATTTTCTTTAGAAATTTGTATATATATCTTTATGCATTTCTAAAAAAAAGGGACTTACAAATTATATTTATATGCCATTAAACATTTTCGACGACGCAATACATTTTTCTGATTAGCGACATCATAATGCATTTACATTTTATATCTGTGAAAATATAGATTTCAGTGCTTAGAGCATCTATGTCCCGTTGAATAACAAAAACTTGTGATATCCCCCAAAAAACACTTACGTGTAAAAAA